CGTTTAGGCCTTGATAGCATTAATATCCTTCTTTCTTTACAGCACCTTTTAACATTGTACTAGCCATGCATGAGTCACTTAGGGTTGTTTTGAAGGGGAAAAGGAAAGCTTTAGTTTGGGTTTACTCAAGGGGACAGCATGACAAGATGTGTGCCAATCCCTAAAAGGCTGCTCTTGGATTTGGGGTTGATAGTACACATAGGCTTACTTCAGGTTTCAGAGCAAATGGAGGTTACTGGACCATTTTAATTAATTTGTCATAGATGATACTTCCATGTGTTGAACTGAATTTTTTTTTTTGTCAGATTTGAACCTTGTATAGTAACAATTCTTTACTCAAATGCAGAGAGAGATGCTTTCTTTAAGTTTTCACGGACTCTGGTTTTTCTAGTTATTGGTAAATGAGTATCTGTCACTGGAAGGACACGACTTCCGTTGAGAAACATTTCTTTTTGTGTGACATATTTTAATAGCAACATCAAACTGTAGGTTGAGGGGTTTTTAAGTTGACATGGGGAATCATTCATTCCTAAATGTGAGGTTCTGCGTATTCCTGTAATGTATGAGTATATTATGTATTTTTGCATGAAGACTTTTTTGAACTAACAAGAAAACTGAAAGTTGTTATACTTTCACCTGTACATTTGTCTGCTAACATTATGATTTAGGATCTGTGTGCCAGTACAGCAAAGCAATGATTTTTATAGTGGCATGCAAGCTTCAATTCTTTAGCGCATAACTTAGATAATCAGTCACACATGTCACGTGAACTATAGCAAAGAAATGCCTAAGCTGTCTATCTTAAACATCAAGTTGTATAATGTTGTTACATAAATATGTCTTGCTGAAAATGAGAGTTGGATTTTGTTAAATCTGGGACATCAGCCATGCAACAGTAAAGCAACTGAAGGAAAGAATTTTTTTTTATAGAATTAAGCTGGATTTAAACTTAATTCCCCTCCTTTTGATCCAGGGGATCTGTCAAGTTTAGCAAGGGCTTCTCTTTAAACAGAAGCTGAGAATTTCAGTCAGACTTCAAGTGAAATTATTCTCTGCTCTGAGAATAAAAGACGGTGTTCAATTCTGTAAGTGTAGAGCTGGTAGTCATTTTTAACACTTTTGTTTTGCCCTTTCAACAACTTGAACTGCCGGAGGTCGTGTTACCCGTCTTGTCATGAAAATTAAGTTGTTAGACCGTTCTGTTGAGAACATGTGGGGTATCAGTTTAATAATGCTTATGTTTATTTATTGGCCAATATTCTGATGTTACAGGAGAGTTAATCTGAGACCTATTCCCCCCATGCCCCTGCTTTTTTTCTGCTGTCAAGCTTTAAATTTTTCAGTTTCTACTGTGGTGTGGTAGATGTGGCTTTCACTGTGGTATAATAGGTCAGTATGTACTCTGGACTCTTGAGGCTTTGCTTGCATGTGACAGTGATATTTTAGCGGTCTTACTCTACTTACCACACTTGGGTGTCTACCTCTTCTCTTTTTAAACGGAGTTTACAGAGTAGGAAAGATGAGTGCTGTCAGTTTTGTTCTCTGGGTACATATAGCATATGTGTGGTGGGACTGTGATTTCTGCTCTTTCTTCAGGATCATGTTATATTGTCTAATTGCAAAAAATAAAAAGGCTTTACAGAAATCTCCATTTTACTTTAGTGTATTCATGTCTAGTTTTGGAACTTTCTTTAGAAGATGTAAAAGGCATACAGGGACACATATGCTATTTAAGCTAAGCACTCCACCAGGAAGGAAGGATTTTTTAATACCTTCACTGCAGGAAAAGCATTGCTTTGAATTACCATCTCAACGCTTCTGGAAGATGAATTCCTTGGCTTTTTTTCTGTGCAACTCATGTTTTTCATGACTATTAAGTTGTATCAATTTTGGGGTTTTTAGCTGTATTCTTAGATTTGCCTTTTCACGTGAGCAGATTTAAAGGAATTGCCTAGCAGCCACGCTTCAAGATTTTTATTCCCCTGACCATCTGGTAACGTGTGTATTACTTGTTGACAAGCACATTCAGACTTTTAAAGGGTTATTAGGGTAATCTTTACTTGATTCTATAAATAATGCTTCCAGCGTGTCACTTGCTCTTTAGTAATCATGTTTTCATTTTATGCCTTTCTGCTAGCGCTCTCCCATAGCGCCTACGCATGACCTTAACCTCTGTCCCCTGGAATATGACTATTCGATCTCTTTGTGTGGGACCAACACTCTTGGGTCGTGCAAGACGAGAATCCCAGGAGAGGCAGTGGTAGGTGAGGGTAGTGGTTGTCAGGAGGGGTTCTTCTTAGAGGACAGAGTCAAGTCAGCTGCCAAACTGCTCCAGGCTTCAGCTTGGCACTGGGGTTCCTTTGCATGTGTCAGGCTGACCGGTTGCATTTGCTGCTGGAGGCTGTGTGAGACACACGTGTCAGAACTGATGTTTGCTTGTGAAGGCAAACGTGGCGGATGGCCTGATCAGACTGGAAAAGTTTAATAAAAGCTGCTGCTTTTTCAGTAGAGGGGGCTTCACTCTTAACCAGCATGTTGATTGTATCAGTTCTGGCAAATTAAACAGCACTGAAGAGCATTCCCTGGTGCTGAACCTCAGTTGTTCTTGTTATTAAACTGTTAGGAGGGATCCTGACAGGGAATTGGCAGGGGAAGCCCATGGACCTTTCCTCATATGTTGATTGAATACTGTCAGCATTTTGGAGGTTAGAAGTTTAGTAGTACAGTTGAAAGTTGTTCCATGCCAGTTGGTCTCTGGGCATGTTCCATTAGTAGCATAGATATAGTTCTGGAAACAAAAATCAGAATGTTTTTTTCACGGGGGAAGTTACTGGGATTTTAAAGTGAATTTCCTTCTGATAGCCTTAGGTAGTGCCCTAGCAAAGAGGAAGAGTTGGGAATTCCTTGCTTTTACTCCACGGTATTTCAGTCCCTGATTCTCGAGAAAACCATTTTAAGTTTTACATCTGTGCATGTTTTATCTAGAGTAATCCTGCTTGGAGCCTGACCTTTCTTTTATCACAATTATGATCCTGACAAGGACACATAGCTCATTTAGTTTCTGGCATTGGAAACAAAAGATGGTAATCCTGCCATCTGACTTAAGTCTTCATTTAAGGAAATGCGTTATTAATCTTAGTTTTTAGGATACGTCTGAGTTTCAGGCTGGGTAAATCCATTAATGTCTTAATACTTACAAGGCATAAGCATTAAAATCCTATTTTAGAGATGACATTATGATACGTATTTCTCTCCCATTTGAAAGTTATCGTTGGCAAAATATCACATTAATAAAAATTACATTTTTTTTTTTCTGTTAGTGAATTCCTTCTGGCTTATTCTCTTCTCTGAGAGTTGAGGACAGACTTTTGTCCCACATTTCCACAGTCAGAAACCCCACAGAAACTGGGAATCAGTAGCCCTAACATGAATCATTTTGGGATGTCCTCAGAGGACTTGACTGTCAGAAGGGTTTATAAGACAAGAAAAGAAATTTAAAGGAGGATTAGTCAAAATTCTGTGTTGAATGTGCCTCAGAGCATGGTTTTTGGGGAAAGGTTGGGTTAGAGAATCTAGTGTTAACTTCAGCTTTAATTACAGCTCTGAAATTCACCTTCTAATTCAGTCAGTCAGCCATTGCTATAGGACGTTCCCGTTTTTAGGTATGGTTAAAGCATCACTGATCCATTTTTTTGCTAATGCAGCAAGGAGGCAATCACAGTCTTGGACAATGCAGAGCTGGCAGTGAGGAAAGGTGAAACAGTGGTCAGAGGAGAAAGCTATTGCTGAGGTCAGTGCTATAAAGTCAAGAAAGTTAAAGACTGCAAACCAGACTTTGAAAGATTATAGGATCTCTACCCAGATAAGCTGTCTGTCTGAGGTGGCTGCAAAAGGCACACTGAGAAAAGGCGGTGCTAAACTGATTTCCCTTGATATAGGCAGTAAACCAGAGAGGAAGTGAAGAGACATTAGAAGGGGAAAGAAAAAGAGGAGACAGGTGGACATCTCTTGCTCCACCTGGAAGCAAAAAATTGAGGCTTTGTCACTCCCTTCCCTTTGCTCCCTCTTCCCTCACAGCCTAAAGGCCCCACAAGGAATGGCTTTCTGTCTGTGTGCATGATTGGGGAGAGAAACTGCAAAATTACTTCCACAGAAGAAACATACATGGTTTTTAGTTAATAACTCCCACATTAACTTAGTTAATCCTAATGTAAAATTGATTTGTTTCAAGTCTAAAGTTTCTCTTAATATTGACCTTGTTGTCTTTTGCTCTGTTATTAACATCAGAGGTGTGAAAAATATAGCTTTAATTCTGTTCCTTTGTAATCTAATCCAGCATTACTAGTCTGAAGGTACAGTTGCAAGAAAAAGTATATGAACCTTTTGGAATTTCATGGTGTTCTGCATTAATTTGTCATAAAATGTGATCTAACCATCATCTAAGTCAAGAGTATCGACAAATATGTGTCTAAAATAACAACACAAAACCATATATGATCCTACATGTCTGTATTGAACACACTCATTCAACATTCAAAATGCTAGTGGAAAAAGTGAACCCTTGAGCTGACCTCAAAAACCTAATCAGAATCAGGTGTTAGCACACCTGGAGTCTTGTTAAGAAAATGAGTTTGGAGGTGTGGACTAGAGCTAGGCTGACTGATAAAAACCACTCAAATGTTTTGAGTTTGTTCTGCACAAGATGTATGCTTGTGTGAGCCATGTCTTACCAAAAGGAGCTCTCAGAGGATCTAGGATCAAGAATTGTTGATTTACATAAAGCTGAAAAGGGTTACAAAGTGATTTCAACGACCTTAGAAATGCACCAGCCTACAGTTAGGCAAACAATCTACAAATGGAGACACTTTGGGACTGTGGCTACTCTACCAAGAAGTGGGTGCCCAGTCAAAATGACCCCAAGAGCACAATGAAGACTCATCAATGTAAAGAAACAACCCCAAGTGACAGACGAAGTGCTGAAGAAATCACTGGAACTGGCTGACATGTAAGCATGTGTGAAATTAGGCAATGACTGAGCACTTGGGGCAGAGGCTTTCATAAATGTGAAATACAGAGAAGCCATATTCTGTAGCCTTCCATTTAGGTGTAGGGTGGTTTTGAATTACTCTGGTGTCAACAAGGCGAAATCAGGTTCTCTGCATGCATTGCATTGATCTGCTGCCACATTCAGCCCTATCTCCCTTCAGGAGAGCTCAAGCAGGCTCTGCTGCACTGCCCAGCAGTCTTCTTTCTGCCCTGAGGCTTTCTCTGATTTCAGACACCCCTAAACTCTCTTGGAAGTGTGTTTGCTAACCCGTCTGCCCAGGCTGACAAGTCCCGACAAGGAGTAGCTGCAGCTAAGACTGTTGGAAGAAAAAAAGGAGTGGAAGCAACTTTGTTTTAACCAGATTGTTTCCTTGGTCCATCTGATCTCTAGTCCCATGAGCAGTGTTGTCAGTGTGGGGAAGAGGAATAAAACCTCAGGGCCCGGAGGAAGGCAAGTGCTGCTCCTCTTGGTGTCAGCTAGCACTTTGGTTAAAATGGTCATGAAACCTCACCAGAACAGGCAAAAGTTAATACAGTTTTTAAATGTATGTGTTTTGAGTAGAAATATCTGAAGTGGTCCTATCCTGTAATAATAAGTGTTAACTCTCTCTGGAATTTTATTCAAAGTTTTAGGAGAAAGAAGGAGTTAATATGAAATGTTTGCAGTGCAGAATTAAAGGAAAAAAGAATGCAGAGTATCATTAATTTTTTAAATATAAGCACTTTAGAAGTGTCTTTTGCCAGCTTTTAGATGGTATTAAAGATAAGTGGGGTTTTTTGTTTTTTTTTTTTCCTAAGTAGTTACTTGAAATGAACTGGGTTGCTACTTTTAGAGAATTTGCTGAAGAAAACAAGATAAATGCATACAGACTAAATGGAAAAAACAGTACACTTCACTGATGTGACTGCCTTGGGCTGACCCTATTCTGCAATCAAACTATGTAGAAGCTAATAGGAAGAGCAAGCTTTTGCAAAAATCACTACCTTTCCACTGACAGGCTGACAGTGGTCGTGCCCAAGGCGCTGGTTAGCAAAGTTGGACTGTTAAGCAGAAGGCAAAAGGGGGGATGGTAACTCAGAGGTGACATATCTTAACTTCAGTTGTTGTGGATGTAACCAAAATTGTTGGAAAAAAAGTGTTGAGCTGTCAGACTGAGCCCTTTTCTTAGTCTTCTCTGGATCCAGGCAATAGAAAGATGCCATCATGAGGGGCCATGTAATTCCAGGAGAAGAGTGAGCCATAGTGAGAGTCATCTCTCTGTCCATCCATTCTCTTGGTGAGCTATTGGCTCCCAAGAAGTGGCAGCAGATGCATGTTTCTGGTTTTGAAATTTGTCTTGTATTTGGAACAGCAGTTTTAGCTCTATTTTGTTATGTTGGAAGGCTTTAATATAGAAGAAGATGCCTTTGCAGATTTCAGTTGGTCTGGACCTGCTTTTTCTGCCATATTCTGCTATTTTCCTCCTTAGTCTGCAGTTTACATTTCTCCTTCAAGTCACTTAAATAAATTAGCTTAGAAAAGTATTTCTATAAATCTTCTGTAGGGTCTTTCATTAATATTTCACATTTGCAGGTGTCACTTCTCACACTTATTGTTAGTAATTATCTAAGCAACTTTACTATTCCTTGTTGCTGCAATTATTCGAGGTATGTTTGTTACACTGCCAGCAAACATATTGCTGAACTTTTGTGCATCTTGGCAAGAGGGCGTCTTACGATTGTTTGCAGCTGCTGAACAAATATCTCTCTGCTAGTTTGTATCCCACAGCAAAGCTAAACATGCTGCCTGCTTTTCTCAGCAAAGTGTCTGAAATCTGAAATGGCAGAAAGTTGATTTCTTAAGGGAGATGCTCTCCCTATGAGCACTGGAGCTAGAGATTTTCCATGAGATTGTGTATGCAAGTACATAAGGTTTAGATTGCACTCTATTAGTTGAGGTGGGTTTTGAGTAGGCAGGAAAGCAGAAAAGAGCAGTTTGATGGAGATGGGTCCTAGCGGTATAAGAAGTGATGACAATGTCTGCTCTGAACACCTAGAAGCATTTGAGTTCTGTGGTTTTAGTATGTGGTTCTGTCAAACAACACAAATATCTCTGCTATTTAAAGGCTGGACTTGCTGTTCTAGAGTACATGATTATGAGTATAGGCTTTCTTTTTTTTCTTTTTCCTCCCTCCCTGCCCCCACCTCAGACTGAATTTTTAAAATACTCTCAAACTTAGGTAGGAACTTCCTTACATTTCTCACCTTGGAAATTCAAAGTCTTTTTGACACTTTGCTGTTCGGGGTCCCTGTTCATGTTGTGTTATGAATGAGCTTTTCCTGTGTATGGTTTTCTAACGTGATTCTCCATGATGTTTGTCTTATTACCTTCACACGCATCTCTTCATGCAGTCTATCAGTTCATGAAGAACCAGAGGTATGAAATGCACAGGATTTTTAAAAAGCAAGTAACAGTCTTTTTAGAACACAGAGATTTCTAAGACCTGAAGCTTTCAAGAGAGCAATGGGGAGAAGTCTAGAGTATCATATGTATCATGTGGACTACAATTTAAGCCTGTGTTCGGATAGTACTTTCAGGAAAAGTCAGACCCTGATGGGGAGAAAAACTGGTCTCGTGTAGTGCTTCTTGATTTGTCATGATGAGCACTTCTGAAACATGTTATTCAAAGCTGTGCAGCACTGGAGTTACAGGAGAGATTAAAGTTCACCTTTAGACTGACTTCTTTGGTGAGTCACTTGTTTCCTCCTGGTCAGCTGGTGGCACAGCTAACAGCCCAGTGCTAGTATTGTCATCCCAGCCACTTCAACCATAAGAGATCTGTATTGATCAATAAAGGTGTATAGTTAGGATAGCTTTTTCTTTCTTTTTAATATGTTTCATTTTGCAGTAAAAATTATGAAGAATTATCATGATTCAGAAGTGTGTTCACGTACATCTGACTTATGCATTTATGTATCTTTAACAAAAAAACCCTTTCTTCCACACAGAAACTATATGCTCAAATAATTTAACTATTTCTTATGGTGATTCATAGTAAATAAATTTAAATGAGATTAAATTAATATGTGACCAAGGTACATGATGGTTTAAATATATAAAGAGAGATTTGGATATTATGCATGTCTTTTTAAGGAAATGAGTTCAAAAGTTTTTAATTGAGCTTGGTTATTCAAATTGTCTTAAAGAATTCATCACACATAGTGTGTTAATACTTTTATTTCTGATTTTTCTCACAGCTGCAAGAGAATCTATCTGGTTAGAACGGGAAGAAAGAGCCCGGCAACATTATGAAAAACACCTAGAGGAGCGCAGAAAGAAGCTAGAAGAGCAAAGATTAAAGGAAGAGAAAAGGCGAGCTGCCGTAGAGGAAAAGCGAAGGCAAAGAATTGAAGAAGATAAGGTAAGAATAAGTGTCATGAAAACACTTTTCAGCTTGTTTTTACCATATGATACAGTACTATGGAATGTTTTCTTTAAGAATTGATGGAAAGAATGCAACGTAAGCTCTGGTCAGTATGAGAGAGCATATGAAAGAGGATTTTAAGCCTTAGTTGCACAGATACTGCTTCTTAAAGTGCACTTGATGAATCAAATGCCGCTAAGTTGAGCATGTCTGGGTTGCAGCGTATGGCACTGCATAAACTCATGCAGAAAAATATAAATTGGGCTGGTTTTGTATGGTTATCTAAATTCTTAGCCATTTACTGTAAGAGTAGCTGATTATTGGTTGTCCTGAAAAAACCTGTAGGAAAGTGGTTGTGTAATGAGGTATGATTTGACTGATTTGTCTCAGTTAAGCTATGAACTATGTGCAGTGTGATCCTATATAAGTCAGCTCATCCCTGTGGTTTTTTTGTTTCCTGTCTCCCCCACTGTTCTAGTATTTAGTAGGTGGGAGATACAGGATGAGAAGTTGCCCTGGGGTGTTTGTGTAACAGCTGCAATAACACGACTACTGTGTTTTCTCTGAAGTTCTGCAGATTTCAAACAGATCCTGCCTTTTCAAAATCAGAATTCATATTTTAACTTATGGCTTAATTGCTGCTTAATCCTGTTCTAGTGTGTGTCCTAGTAGGCAGCACATAAACTTGAGCAAAGCTCCAGGATGCCTGCAAGGTTTTGTCCACATGGAGAGTAGCAGGGTTTGATGAGAAGATTAAGTTAAAAATCCAATAGTATCCAAATGTATTATCCTGTTGTACTTAAGGAACGACATGAAGCTGTTGTACGTCGCACAATTGAAAGAAGCCAGAAGCCAAAACAAAAGCAAAACAGGTGGTCCTGGGGAGGAGCACTGCATAACCGCATTAATAACACAGGTAAAGAAGGGAGGCTCGATCTGCTGGCCAGTTTCACTGCCCTGCCAGTTAACTGGAATTTACTTCGCTTCTGTTAAAAAAAAGGATGGTTCAGTGTGTGCTGGTTTTGATCTTGTTATTGCTAGCAGTGGCATGTTTCTGACATTCTTGTGTAGCAAAAAGATAACAAGAAAAAATCTGAACAAAAGTTAAAATTTGTTTCAGGAGTTGGCTAATTCTGTGACTTTATCTTGCCACAGCTTCTCGCTTCTGCTGCTTTGCTGTTATGTGTATGTGTGAGTGTGCTTGTGCTGTGTTGATCTTGTGATATGAGCTACTATGCGCAACTGCTAAATATCATGGCTCAAAAAATAGGTCTTGTGGAAATAACCAAATACTGAGATTAAAACAGACAAAAGTAAGAAAAAATGTTCTTTGTAATAATGTATCTGTAACTTGTATGCATACTCTGGGAGATAGATGTCCCTTTTTTTTCCTCTCGAAAAAAAGATGGGCAAATTAAGTGAATTTTAGCTCTATCTTTCTTCTCCAGTCATCTTCTCTAACTTAATCTGCCAATCATTAATGTGTATATGTCCTGCTAAATACAAGTTGAACCCAAAAAAGTGAGCTTGTCCTTTATTTCTTTCACTGGAAAGTGATACTTAGAATTCTTCTCTTCCTGTTCTAATATATGGTTTTCAATGTGTCCAGCCTTTCATCAAGGAGGAAAAAAAGGTTGAGAAAAGAATGCTTTGAAATCTTTTTCATATATAAGTTCAATAAACAGTTGTTTTTCATAACATGTTACTTTTTTGCTTAACTCTGTATAAGTCATTTGTTTTTGGTTTTTTTCTTTACTTTGAAAAATCATTGTCTTGCATTCTGTCCCTAGGTTATTTTTTTGAATCATCATTCACCTTTCTCGATTTAGCAGGCCTGGAGCACCACTTCAGCTCTCTGGGTGGTGCTAGAAAACCTGGTACATAATTTGCTGTGGTTTGTTGATTCCTTTACCCATAGCTAGTTCTCGGGAAATGAGATCACTGGTAACTAAACTACTCTCATGTAGTTGCAATGCATGCTTAACATCATGCTGATAGATTAGAACTGTTATTAGTACCAGATTTTTTCATTATTATTTCTTTTTACTATGGAGAGTTACTACTGGCTGACTAAAGATTTGGCACAATTCACTGAAATTAAGGATAATATTCCATCTACTGGAATTCAAGCAGACCTGATTTGTACATTTCAATCTTTTCTAAAACCCTTTTGGCATACTACATATACACAGGATTTACAATTATTTTATACATGAACATAGACATATAACTAGCACGGGCTGACATGTTGCTCATGGATGTTCTAATTCCTTTTTTTAGAACAAAAAAAACAGCCATCTAGGCAATGAATTACATTTGGTCTATTCTACATTTGTAGGATTTTATATTCCCAACACTTAAACACAAATAGTTATGCTGAATTTGGTTCACTTAATTAATGTTCATAGACACAAGAAAAATGTTGACATGCAAATACAAGAGGTGATTTTTTATATTGTCGTTTGTAATCTTCAGAAAGTTCTTTTGTGCTGAATGTTGAAACTTTTTGGCTGTACTGATACACTACACATTTTCTCAGATATAGATGAGCTATAAGAGATCAAAATCCCAATCCCATTCCCACAAATATTTATCTGTCAAAGGTCTGTGAGACACGAACCTTGAGTATCCTGTCTCCAGTACTGACTCGCCCAAAGTATTCTTCAGTGTACCCCACAGATCAACGTGGGATAATCTTGCCAGCTCACAGAGGTTGTGTTCTTAGCTATGATATTTAAAGCTCTCCTTTTAAAACTCAGAAATTATTTTGGGCCCCCTTCCAGTACCCAGTTTACTAGTTCTAAACCCTTACTGAATCATCCCAATATTAGACAAAGTGAGCAAATAATCACTGGGGTAGGGAAGAATCTTTCTTCACCCCAACCAGTTACAGTGAATCTGATATAGTTCACCTGGAGAAAGTAAAGATGTTTCTCATGCAGTATTATTTCTATGAAATTTTTTTAACACAGTGAGCATACTTTAATCCACTAGATCAGAACAGGTAAATACAATGTTCATGTATTTGTCATAAACAAACAATTACAGCTAATATTTCAGCAACATCCTTTTTAATGTTATCCATGTCCTGAGTTTATATCTGCTTCCAAAACAGTACATGGACATATTTTTGCACGCACTGAATATGAATCAGCAGAGCATTTAGGCATATGCTCGAGCCTCATTGCATTTCAGCATGGCTGAATGCTTTGCTGAGTAGCACTGAAGTTCAATATATGCTAAAATGTAAGCAAAAGCAGAATTGACTCTCCCAACATCTTCCCAATGTCAGATTTCCAGATGGAAATTTGCAATGTAAGACATGTAGTTGATGCATGTAGCCTTTTTTTTTTTTTTTTGAGAGAGAGAACAGAAAATATATAAGCTGGCCTCTTCAACTTATTCCTCCTCTTTCACCATTGCTGGCAACCTTCATGTGAAACACACGTGTACCAAGTGTGTGCGATCTGTATACTTGAAATCACCGTCACCTCGAGTAGTGTACAGATGCTGACTCTGCAGCAGTTGCTCAGGCAAATGGTGTAATACTGCTCTAAAATGTACAGAATACAAAAGCAAAATAAAACCCTGTAGTATGATATAGCAAGCATGTGCATGCATTACACGTAGTCTCTAGACTTCCACAAAGACTCATTTTCTCTATCTGCTAAGCTGTGTTTTCTTTGGGGTTGACTAACTGCAACTTCATTCACAGCAGGTAGAAAATGATTCTGTGGTGGGAAGTTTAGCACTTATACATAGCTGCAGGACTTCAACTAAATCTTTTAATTCCTTCTGTGCTTACCCTTGCTTCCCTTGTGCACGTGTCTTCCCTGAATCTTCCAGTATTGTATTGTCAAGATATTGACCTCCTGCCTAGTAACAGTGCCCTGTCAAGTGTCACCTTTTATTCAGGTGCTAAGGGGGTTTTTTTAATCAGTAATCTCACGTTTCCAAGCATGTCGGTCCTTCCCTGAAGCTTTCTGTTCTAAGTTATGAGCAAGGCTTTTCTGAGAATATTGAAGGGAATGAGGAAATATCCTCTTTACTAGTAACCACTTTAGATAGTCCATTAAGTCCTTGGATTACAACCTGATTGAATGATAATCAATGACCAGACATCTGAAACTTAAATTAAATGGTTTTGTGCCCAGTCTTTGAGTCACCTGTACAACGTCTGCTGAGAAGTCCCTTCTATTTTGAAAGTTCTTGTGGTAGAACAGGAGTGACCTAGTCATGTTTTCCTCCTCCCTCTAGTGAGCTAGGAACTTGCACTATTGCATGTGGGCTGTCAATTAGCATTATCTCCATTTGTTTTAGATCCAGACAGGCGATCTGTTTCAACAATGAACCTTTCGAAACATGTTGATCCAGTCATTAACAAGCGGCTCTCCTCCTCATCTGCAACATTACTAAATTCTCCAGACAGAGGTACAGTTTCAAAGAAAAAAAACCCACTCAACAAAACAAAAAGAGCAAGAAAGAATGTTCTGTATTGATGTATTACTTTGCACATAAATCAAGCATCTAAAGTAATTTTCTGTACTTCCTCTAAGTGGGAGTGAAAAGACTTCAAATGTGAAAAGTAAATGGTTGAACATTTTTTCCTGTGAGAAGAAATATATATTTCTTGTTCTTTAAAACAAGAGAACTTACTTAACAATCTTACTTCAGCAAATGAGAAAAGCAGTGCTTCTGTCAGGTTTTTAGTAAATGAGGTACAACTATTGAAAGAATACATCGCTCCATAGTGCATGCAATCATGTGTGATCTTTTATTTGCATTAGGCCATTTTGTCATTATTTTGTTTTCCTTTTTGATTCGGTAGTAGTTTTTGGTTATCTAAGAACACGTTGCATGAAGCTTTCCAGCAGTTATTTTATTACCATTTTGGATTATTTTTATTGAAGAGGTATGGGTGATTTTCATATGGTCTGTTTATTGACTTTTTGTGTCCCGTTACTTTTCAAAGATTGCTTTGTTTCAGTGTGTGTTTTTGATGTTTACAACTCTTCATAAATGACAAACCATCAAGCTTTTAAAAATTAACATAGCTGAATTGCTGCCTCTGTTCTGAGGATTTATGAGATTGAAGCATTGAGCTTAAAAGAGTTTTATAAAAGAATGTCTCTTGTATAACTTGTGGAAAGAGCTTTACAGAAAAGTGCTTGGTAGGGATTTTTTGTCCTCTGCTGAGAATGAGAAGTTCTGTCCCATTTCACTCCAGATAAATGCATGTTTTCAAAAACACTTTCAGAATGGGGATCGGGTTGTGCAAAACTGATTGGTAGATATCATTATTTGCGTGCTTTGACAAAGTGCCATGTTTTATGTCCATCTTTGTACGTGTGTATCTGGTTGATCTGATGAGCCATGTTAATCCTAGTGGGCTAACCTGTATGTAGAGTCTGGCAACATGCAAAAAATGCAGCATTATATTAGGAAATAATTTATCAAAAACTCCAATAATTTTTTGTTCTAAAAGTTGAAATCCAGTCAGGTTTAATTCTATTAGCTTTTCAGGTGCATATATATATTTTTCCAGACAGTTGCTGTTCTTTGCCCTGGGATGCTTCTTTGAGGAAGGATCTTGGTGGGGCATTGAAAAGCAGCAGGCATTAAATATGAAGGATAGTCTCTTATGGACTGTAACCCATTGTGTTACAGTTTCTGCTACCCATTTCAAACTCAGGGTAGGTTAGACTCAATAGTAGACAGTCTTGCAGTGGGGAGAGGGAAGGAATGTGGAAGTGATGGCTGTATGGCAAAACTTTTAAATGTAGAGGCATTCTTTGCTTGGCATTTCCATTAAACCAGCACAGAACTCTTCAGAAGTCTCTTATGTCTTTCACAGACTCCAGGACAGAAAACAAATCCAAACACTACAAATGCCCTCTTTCTTGTGCAGTCGTATACCTAAATCTAGTTGAGCGTGTATCTGGAGAAGTGCTGCTGAGCGTGTATCTGGAGAAGTGCTGCTGGTCTCAACGTCCTAAGGCAAATGCTTAAAGGGAAGTTCTGTCTGCCTCCCATTTCACCTCCCCGAGGGCACCCATCACACTTTGGCTGTAATGCACAGTCCTTCCCAAAAAACAGCAAGCTGGAGATGAGGATGATAAGCTAACCCTAAGTGGTTTATAGTTGTCATCAAGAACATGTCTTCTGTTAAGCAGCACCTTTTACCATTTGAAGGACAGGATTTTGTTGTTGTTTTTGTTGTTGACCAAGCAAAATACAGAGGTTTTCATTAACTAATTGCCTAAAAGACCGGTTATTTCCTTTTTAAGTATAGTATTGCTATACTGCTCTTTATCACAATTTTACAATCGGGTGGCTAGAACAGGATTCTCGTTATGCTTTTAGGTTAGTGGTACAGGTCTGATTAGTTGAGCTGTAACAAAAGATGAACAAAATATGGAGAAAGTTGCTGTTGACCAGTAAATTTTGGTAATTGTGCTCTTTAATGAAATGAAGCGATGTATGAGTAACTTTCCTAGTTTTTAAATTAAAACTTGCATCATAGTTGTGTTCCTCTTCTCTGCAGTGCTTTTCTTTCAAACAGGTGATCACTGCATCACCTTTGTCTGCCACCTTTATAGAAGAAATTCAGTCCTGCTGAAAGAGAACCTAAGCACAGAGTAGCTCTGCCCCATCTACTCCTCAGCATGTTTGTGGCTCTGTTATGAACGAACACCACTGTTACCAGTGAGTCTCCTTCATAGTGCACATCAGGAGACCTGTGAAGTCCTTGCCTCCCATCTGTTCCTGGAACTAGTCAGATGGTGCTGTTTGCTTACGTGCAATTTATTCTGCTGCTGCTAAGACAACCTACCAGTGTTCAGTTTGTATATCGTGATGACAAATACAGATGATTGTAATCAATTAGCTGTTGCCAGCTCCCTGAGACTGTGTGTTTTTCAGTAACAAGTTAGGCTATAAAGATCTTTGATCTGTTTAAACTAACTTGCTTGGAGCTGGGGGTAGGGGTACTTGCTTGCACCAGCAAGCCTATCATGAATGTGCTTCCTGTTAACTTAAACAGCATGAGAACAAAAATATCATTTTCCCTTGTCTGTCAGATGGTTTGAAGGACTAAAGCTTGAAAATATCAGCCTAAGATATTAAAAACAAAAAGAGCAAGAAAAAACCCATACCTGAGCTCATTGTCTTATTATTTTGGGATGCTCTTTGTTTTGATTTCAGTTTTCTTCAGCGTGAATTGGACACCAAAGTTGTTCAATGCATTTTGGTGTCAATACTCTTGTACTTGAAACTTAGTGGGCAGAGGCTTATTTGGCTGTTTTAGGCTAATGGTGATGCTAACGACTGTTAGAATATGTAATGAAAGTGTCAGATATGATGCTTTCAGGGAGCTGTGCATTTGCCAATTTCAATACGTGATGACCTTGATCCACAAAGCCAAGGTGTATTTAAATGAACTCTGATCTAAACCTGTTTTAGAGCTTTAGGGAGACTCCACTCCAAGCTCCTGGCTATTTGGACACTTCTTAATCAGGCGCATTGCTCATATGGAGAAGAGAGTTTTTGTTGATCTCTCTTAGCTCACTGCCGGTACATATCAGCTACCTGGTAGCTGGATGCTGTAGGCACGCAATTTATTCCAGTAGGTGATGTGGATGTCAGCTCCTCAGTGTTAGGGGCAAAGAGAAAAGAGAATCAAACCACCTTTAGAGCAAGTGACAGGGGAGAGGTGAGACAGAGCAATTTATTGTTCTGAGTCATCAGTCTCTTAGCTGTGTCCTGTTGAGACAGCATCATCTCTGGGGCCTCGTGTAAGACCTTCAGCTGGCCCACAGGGCCTTATTACATTGTGACATTTATTTGCCAGCTGTTTGCAGCTGTACAGAAGAACTCCTAGAAATTGATGGGATAGGTAGTACTGGTTTATTGGCCTAAAATTTCAGGGATTACTTTCTGCAGTTGTATGATCTTTGTATTAAACTACAGTAGAAGAGTTTCTCCAGACTCACTGTACTCGTGCCTGTGAGCCTCACCTGGTAAAGCCTGAGACCACAAAAAAGCATCTATTGTCTTGCAACAACAGCTTTAAACAGTGATCATACTGAGCATGGTGCCTGGAGAAGAAAGCAAGCAAAGATTTTACCATTATTGCATCCAGTTTAATGGTAGTTCTGTGATTTTTCTTCATTGTTAAATTACAACCTTAATGATAATGTGCGTGCTGTAATGGAGGTCTCTGTAGGGTATTTTGTGTCTCTATAATCTGTACCAATGCAGAATGGAACCATTAATCACAAAGAGCTCTGGCAGTAGTACATTGTGTAAGGACACTTATCCAGAGAGCCTGCTGTGTTTAAGAGTCCTATATTTCTATAGTAACGCCCCTTATTGAGTTAGCAGAATTTACGGGAGCAATTTGAAAAGTGAAAAACAGCACTGAGGGTGGATTAGGCAATTGTATTTTCATAGGATTTCATGGGATGAGAACGAGATTGGCCCCTCTTTTCATGGGGCTCAGCATGGAGTAGATTAAAGACAGATTCAGAGTTTATGGCTATTAAAAGTGATGGATCTCTACCTTTAAAAATGCAAATTAATCTCAAGTTTATTACAGCCAGTCACTTCAGTGAGTGTTTTAGACTGAGCCTCATAAATTCAAGCTGCAGTTTTGTTGCTGTAAACATGAAACTAAGGCCAATGAATGCTGAGATGTAAGAATACCTTATTTCACTTACAACATAAAGATTATTGCTAAGGTGTAAGCTTATTATATTGAACTACTACGGGAACTTGTTGAATATTTTATTTTGTGATGCTCATTATAATTTGTTACATCAGGCTATCAAAGAAACATCTAGTTCAATATAAAAATCATTTATAGGGTTCTTTTAGTTACTATTTCACCATTATCAATGTCTAAGTAGTATTTTTTTAAAAGAATTAAAGAAATTTTACAAGGCAATAGGAATATATTGACAAGGTAAATTTGTATTGGGCAATATTTGGAAAAACAAGGCAAGGGAGTGATTGCAGACAGGTCACTGTGTAGTGTGTTTTCAAAACAGACAAAACAATGCAAATAATTGGCTCTTCTTACCATTCTAAATTGAAAATTATGATTAGTAGGATTTTTTTTTTTGTCAGAGAATTAATGATCAAATGTTCTTACTTTATTCTGTGGCTTCATGTATTACTGAGACGACCGTAGCTGTTGAGCTTGGTATCTGCAGTTGAGGTGCATTGTAACCTTTTGTGATGCTTGGATAAAACCTCTTTGACACAATTCTCTGTATGGTAGTAAGCAACCTTCTTTTTTTTTCTAGTTAGGCTGACAGACTTTGGAAGATACTTTAGTAATTGGTCTTTTTTGTGACTAGAAGACTATATACCTTTAGTGTTGTAGAAAGAATTTGGGACACAAACATCTCTGTCAAAGTCTATATTTAGGACTGGCAACTGCTGTCCTAGTACAGAAGTTATCCTGTCATTCCTAACAGGGAGTGTTCATATGTGCAAAATATCAGTATTAATTTGAAAACAATTTGCCATAATGCCACAGGCAGTAACAGAAATTAAATATTCATATGTGTAAGTTTCTATAGGAATTCATCTACTGAAATGCAGTAAGAATAAAATGCAAACCGCTATATGATTGTATACATTTGATCTCTGGGAGGAAGTTTCAAGATTTTCGTGGTACGCAGTGGTGAGGAGATAATACTAATACTTGTGCAACACGTAGTTACTTGTGAAGTGTTTGTTCTAACATCCTGCTTGTATGGTGCACGTTCAGCTCGCCGTCTACAGCTCAGTCCATGGGAGAGCAGCATCGTTAGCAGGCTCCTGACGCCCACGCACTCATTCCTGGCCCGAAGTAAAAGCACAGCTGCATTGTCTGGAGATGCAGGTAAACCTATAAGAACAGAGGCTTCATGTCTCAGCAACTTATTTTTCGAGATTCCCAGTGGGATGTTGTAAAGTTATTGATCTGAGTGTATGGTAGCATCCCAGAATGAGCTTGAATGTCCATAATGACATTGCATAACAGCATGAAAGCTTGTTTGTACCATTGTTCGCCATGCCTCTTTCTCTCTCTCCTGACACTTCTTTCTCAGTTTCTTTTGCCTCTTCATTAATGCAATATATGAATGCAACACACACCGAGGCAACAATGTTGTGCTCTCTGTGGCTGTGTACGGAAATGCGCACAGTGTTGTAAAGAGCTGGTTCAGCACACCCACCGCGAAGGGCTGTGAGCTGCTTGCTGCAAAGAATAGTTTCACTCTCTACCAGGACACATCCCACATGGGACAAATTAGACTTGTAGAAAGATAAGCCCTGGTTGCAGTTGGTTTAATACACAGAAAGTTAACTGTGCAGGTTTAGTTAACTGTGCAGGTTTAGTGAGGTTATAGTAATTGTGAAATTCTCTGCCAACCTCAGAACAGCTCTCTGGTGTACTTACTGAGGGGAATATTAATATGCAAAAAAGCAAAAATATTGCTAGGTGGTAGTTTAAAGCTCAGGCAAAACTGTATTCCAAAGACAACCAGGGCATACTTGCTTATCATGTATTTTAGACAGGTGACAGCTGCCTCTTCTTTTTTCATAGGATGTTTTATAATCATGCACTGGAGACTTTACCATCACAATAGTGTATTGCTGCACATGCTCCATGTTTAAGTCTAAGCAGATCTTTCTGTCTGATATGGACAGGATTTTTATTCTAATTAAAGGATGTAGAAGGAAAGAAGGAATAGAGATCTGCTAAGATTACTTTTAAAGAAGCTTTCACTTAAGAACTCTTATAACTAATTAGGCTGCAGTACATTTCCACAGGGGTAGCACTGCAGGAGCAAAAACATGGATGATATTTTGCAAACAGTAGAATTAATAAGTTCAGAATTCGTTTTCACTCTTCACAAACAAGAGCTTGTAAAATGAATACTTAATGTCATCAACCAGGCAAGATACTGGAAATTCAGCTCCTCGTTAGGGAATAGTTGAGAAAGGTATGTCTTAAATCTTGTCAGTGTTGCTTTGCTGGAGCAGGTGCGAAGACTTTTTTGTGACTGCTATTTTTTATATTGTGCAATGAGCTCTAAACAGAGCAGAATATTGAGAAAGAGTGCAAATAGCAGAAATGACTGATTTGTCAACCGTCAGTCTGAAGTAATTCCTGCCTTCCCTATGCTAACTGGAACTGTACCACCCAGAAGAATAATCCATCTGCTCATTGTTTCCCAGGTATTATTCTCTAGGAGCAATAACTGCAGTCCCTTCATGCAGGATGCTTCCTGGAGATTAATGATCAGGTGGTGGTAATGGCTCACAGATGTGCGCTGAGCACTCAGCTCGTCCCAGCCTGTCATTATTCCCTAGAAAATTACCCTACCCTGTGGCTGTAAAGATAAATTACAATGCAAAAAATCAAAATCAAATTAGATGGGAATCCATGTCCTTAAATTTTAAGTGAGCTGTCAGGGACATCAGCATAAGAGTACATCTGGATCTTTTTTAAAATAGACCTCTGTAACTAAAATGTTTTTTAAATAACTATCCAAAAGCTCCTCTGAATAGATGTAATTCTGTTGGTGCAGGATTCACTGAGAGTGCTTCCTGAAGCATTGTTTGGCAACATCACAAATGAAAATGAACTGCTTGTCTTTTAATAATTAGATGTCATCCTTGGTGGTAACTTCAGATAATCAGCGTGCAGCAAGAGAATTGATTCACAGAGAGTGAGAACCACATAAATTATAAACTGCTTAAAACATACATTGTGCCACTGCCTCCTGTCTGATTTAGATGCACACAAACGAAACCCCTTGTTTTCTTGTTTCTCTGTTTTTAATTTTTTTTAAAGTCAGTCATAATACCTCATTAAACATAAATCCTTAAAAATGATAAGACAAGCACGAGTGTTGTTGCAGTAACACTTACATGAGACTCTCTGTATTCATAATGTTAATCTCCCAGTGCAGGAGAATTTGCAGCGTTGGTGCTGTTAAGTCTATGAGCTCTTCCTGTAACAGCAGCTGTACTGTTGTAAGACTGGAAGAATTGACTGTTTGTGGAACTGCAGTCTTTCAAGTGTGACTAGAGAGGGAACTACAGGCAAGAAATATGGAGTCTTTTACCAAGGAAACTAAGGATGTAATTTTTAAAAAAAATTTTTAAGTTGAAAGCATGAGGAAAATACCATATAGAAGCTCTACTTTTCATTCAAGTAACATACTGAATAATAATTATGCTAAGACTATATTAAATGACCAGGAAAGACAAACAGGAGACTAAAACTCTGCAGTAATAGCAAGGTTTTCCCTAGTCTTCTTCTTCAGTTAAATTAAGAGAAAGTCCAAGAATACTTGCTCCATGAAGTTCCCCATGATATGTTTTGCAGTATTACAGTTGTCTTTGAATATGTAATCGGAACACCATACGTCTGATAACCTGCTATTGGCAGGAGAACTTCTGGTAATAGTCCTTGTGCAAACCAAGGATAACTCCCATCCTGGTTACTCAAATAAGTAATAATTTCAAAGTTGATTTGCTGTTGTTAGCCAGCTTTTTTGTAATATGTAAAATAGATTGCTATTGAGAATATGAGTCGGTTGTTATTCTAGCATTATCAAGAAATATTAAAAGTTCTTAAATGAGTGGGCTTCAGATATTCCTAAAAAAGGGATATCTTTAAAAGTACATCACTTGCTAAAAATTGTTGATAATTTAGTTGGTTTACTAGCTGAAGCTGTTTTGTATTGTTAATGTGTTTTGGTCTTTATGTGTATGTCTCCTTTTATTTTCCACCACTTCTAAGACCAATTAATAGGTGTTCTGACTTTAGTTTGATTGTTTTCTATTCCAAATGTAATTGAAACTCATGTCAGTGCATATACTAAGTTAGTCAGTCAGACCAGTCATCGTGTCTTTTTCTGAAACACCAGTTCTATAGAACTTAACAGAAATATGTTGTTACTTTCTACTGCCCAGTTATGTGGCATACTGCTTAATTTATTTTAAAAAAATAACTAGTTTACAAATTGAAAAGCACATGAGTGCCGTTTAAATTTTATCATTACTGTATGTGTCGCCAAGCTAATATATCAAATGATGGTTCTGACTTGAGAATTAGTCATTCCTCTATATATTAATACCTTCTTTCTTTTCTGTCTTTCTCGGTTGTTTCTGTTCCTGCTGGCTTTCCTCTGTCCATTCTCCAATGCTGCTCTCTAATTAAAATTAATAAATAACAAAACCAACCAACACCGCAGTTATTCCCATTTGTCCCCGTTCAGCATCTTGCAGCCCCATCAGCCCTCTGTCCTACAAGGCCATGAACTGTAGGCATCCAGGAGACCAAGCAAAACTATATGCCTCTACTGATGCTGTTGGACGTAGGAAAACAACGCATCTTGCAGGGGTAAGCACACGAGCCATGGGTAAGCTAGCGTCTTGGGACAGGACCACCTGACTGCACTGCTTGCAAGGACAGAAATAGTTACAAGGATACAACTGAGTCTGAGCCTCCCCTCTGCGCTGTCCACACCCCCTCCACTTTGTTTCATAGTTGGCTGGATTTCAACTGGCATATGCTGTGTTTTGTGGTGACATGGCCTGATAATGCACCAAAGAATCCTTGTGGGAAAAACATCCATGTTTGCAGAGTGGGTGTCTTAGCTCCTCTCGAGGCACAGAGGCAGTCACAGCATGTGTGCCCTTTTCTCGGTGGATTCTTTGCTGCCTTTTAAGACCCAAGCTGGTGTTGCAGCTTTTCCCTCAGTGGGGAAACTGTTTTTCCCAGCAACCTGTTTTCACAAAAGCTGTAGAATTTCACATCCTCTGAGGCCACTAGCAAATTCATCTGGGGAGGAGGGGGAAGGCAAGCACTCACACATGTCTACATACATAAGCACACAGAGCACTTCTGCTTTACTTTCTTAGGCAACCAGGTCCTAAAACAAGGTTGATTTAGGAGCATGGTTTGTAAGTGAGGCTTCCAACTATTCTGAACAATTTGGTAGCAGCGCTGGGACTGGTCTGAGCTTTCAGGGAAAATCAAAGCAGTGTGATACGGGCAGACTGAATTCATGTGACTGTGCTCTGAGCCAAAGGGATGCAGTCAGCTCCAGTTCACATGTCATTTCCTGAACCTGGGCAGTTGTATTTTTCTGTGTACTCTACAGCCTGAGTTTGTTTAGAGTGTGAGAACAGTGAAGTGGTGTCTGCAAATGACTGTTTAAGAGGTGCTTGCATTTTCATTTGGCCTCATGGGCAGAATATCAAGAAGCAGTGCTGCTATTGACTTCCTTGTTAGAAGTAGTGTTAATGAAAGTCACATGAATCATAGCCAGTACTTAATCTTTCAGGCAGGTGGTAGTATATTGAAGTTTAAGGCACAGCATTGGAATGTGTCTCGTAGTATATGCATAGTGTGTTTGTAATCTCCAGGACTATCATTTTAATGCCTCTTGGGCCTTTCTCATTGCAAACGGTTTGGGGTTTTGTGGTTTTTTTGTTAATTTATTTTTTTAATTAAAATGAAGAAAGGCTGGTACGTTTTGGTGGAGGAGACAACATAAAAATGTTATTGCAAAATCACTGAGTTAAGAGCTGTTTCCAGTAGCCTATGTGGTGTGGAGAATCTTACGTTCTTCTGTAAACTTTTGTAGGAATTTTTAACTTTATTGACATTAAGAAAAATTTTCTGCTGCTGTTTTCAAGACTAGTAAAGTAGATCCAATACAGAGAGTTATTGCTAGTGAGTCAAAATTCTTCTTCACTGTAATGCATTAATACTAGTTGTGTATGCTTTGTTAACTCAAGTGATTATCATATGATCAGTAGATACCTAGTAAATTATACTGCCAAAGAGCTGGCTTGAGTAATGACTTCAGGAGACCATCTATTGCTTCTAGTAAGTTACGGTTTTGGCAATTTAAAATAACTGCTTTTAAAGATAACAACAAAAATTAAACCCCAAACCTTATGAAGATAAACCAGGGGTTTATGTGCTCATGAAATTGTTTTCAGTCTTTCTTTTCCAGTGGTTAACCTGGTTTTCAGTTCAGGAGATAGAGCATTGCAGAGCTCTCAGCTAGTGAGGTTCTGAAGCAGCACGGTACACACGCTGCAGTGACTGTGCTTAAGCCTCAGCCAAGGTGGTGAGTAGCAGCCCCTCTGCATCATGTTGGCTGAGGGGCAGCTCAGTGTACTCTTCAGTATTCCCATTCTTCAGACTCCCAGAATCTGAGGTCATTATTCCAGAAACCTGAAGTTTTTAATTTATAGGTAAATGGGTTAAGTATGTAGATGCTGAAATTCTGATATGTTCCTTTAAACAAATAGTTCTAGTAATACTAACTACAGAAATATTTTAAAAAATTAAATCCCAGGATAAGGAGTAAAGAAGGAAACAAAGGAAACTGCTACCCATGGATAAGAATCAATGGCAAAATACAGTACATGCTGTGAAATCATCCACAAAAAATAGAATAGCTGTCATACCACATTTGAGGGTTTTGAGGGCATCTATGGTGTTTCCATGTAAACAGAAATGCAAAAAGCTTGTGCTATATAGGCACTGAGACTTAAGTGTGAGCCTAGGGAAGGTGAGCAAGGGAGAATCTTTTGCTCTTTCTTCAAATGAAATTCTGGCTTTATGGGGAGTAGTGGAAGGTACTCTGCGACAAAGATCAAATGTTAGGAGGTAGCTTGTTGCCTGTGAAAAATAAGCCTCTGCAGATGAGTCCATTATGTTTTAGGACAGTAGAGAACATGATTAAGAAGGATTATTGTCAAATACATCTTTACTGACAAAGCTGGTGTCACATTACAGGGGATATATTAATGAACTTGTTTAACAGGCTGTAGAAGCTGCAGACTCAGCATTGCTTTTTCCCAGCCCCTCAACCCCTCATCCTTAACTGAGCTTGCTTTGCTTTCTTTAGCCATGTGAACTCTGGCTTGACTTTGTCTTTTTGTTTGCTGAACTGCAGACTGATAAAAAAGAAAAGGAGAGAGACCATTTGTCATCCAGCTTCTCAACCAGCTTTAAAGGAGGTCATTTTTCTTCCAACCCCAAAGCTAGATCACCAGCTCCCTCTCCAGTTTGGTAAGCCAAGTACACGCTTAGCTGGAGGTTGAGCTATAGGCAGCTCTGACTGTTTTATTAATCAAATGTGAAACATTGCAAACTTATTTGGTGATGTAGATGTTTTCTCTCTGCAACAAAAGAAAGACAGTCCTGCTTTTTGAAAAATGTCACTACTGCTTTGAGGAAGGGGAAGAAGGAGGAAGATACCTGGTTTCTTGCACATCTAGAGTTGCAGAAAGAAACATTTCACATTATAGCTCATCAGTTGCTCCAGCAGTCCTGCTTGTTAGAGAAATTGTTTTATTTTCAGCTCTTGCAGTTGTAGAAGTGATAGGTAGGTGGTGTCCAGCACAACATGTCTGATAGTGATTGTTGCTCTTTGGTTACACAGGCATGCGTCAAAGTCTTTGCCTTTTTTGCCTGGCACACCCAGGCAGGTAACTTCCCCACCTGGTTCCTCCTCCAAAGTTTCCTCTGCTCAGGCACGTCCTCCTTCTCCTGGCAACATACGACCAGTCAAAAAAGAGATCAAACCAGAGAGTGAGAAGAAAAAAACAGAAAAGGAGGCTGAAAAGGCCAGTGAGGATAAGACTGAAGAGAGTAAAGAAATTTCACCAGGTGCTGGAGAATCTGCGAGTCAGGAAGAGCTTGCTGACCAGGCAGAGCCTGCTCAAGGTAAGGAGAGATCCTCTTTTACATTATGGTATGTCTGAGAGTCTCTTATGTTCTTCCTTCCCTTTCTCTGAAACAACATAGCTTTCAGTAGTTTTCTGTCAAAAGTTAATCTAAATTCTTCAGAACATTCCTGCGGATGTGTGTTCATTATGAGGAAAGTGTAAACAGGTGAAGCCCTCCTGCTTGTAGCAGTCGAAACAACACACAGACCTGCCTTGCACAGTATGGCTTCACAGCCAGCTTCTCTTCCTCTTTGGGATGTGGGTCATGCATCATGACACAGCTTCTTTTCAGACTCTTGAGGTGGAGCCGTAACAATCTGAAGACTAATGGTACAGGAAGCCATCATATAAAATAGTGTGAGCAATGAGAATGCCCAGCTCTGCTAAGGCACTCAAGTACAGCTGTGCTGATAACGCTACAAGCTTACCCGTAATATTGCCGTACCACCACATCATGAGGGAGACTAGCAGGATAAGGTGGAATGCAGAGGAGAACCAAGAAGAAGAGTATTTTTTTTTTTTAAAATTACCCAACAGCCAAACAAAATAATGATCATAAAGTGTAGGAAGGGCAAAAGGTAAATCTGAAAATCAAAAATGGGGTTTGTTTTAGCAGATTTTTTTAGTTCATTGTAAGTATGGCATAAACTGTATGTCTCGCAAATGGGATAGAATGGCCATTGTGACCACTAGGATTTCCAGGTCAGGTTACTTAGGATTCTGTGTTTAAAATTCATACAGATTGTGATTGTCCTTCAGAAAACAATTTTAAGTATTACTAATCCTGCATTTAACTGCAAGATGTGTTGGGGATTGTTCTTCTGCAAGAAGACCTGATGTCAATTGATTTCTTTTTTTCTAATGAATTCTGTTACAGTAGTTCCAGTCTGACACTCGCCTCTTGGCACACAAGGTGCAACCCCACAAAAAGCTAGAGTTTTGCAATAATAAATGGCTACATCTCTTGGCCATGAGCGTGTAAAGAAGATATAATTGTCATGTTAGCATGAGTTTTCACTGCTCTTCTGATACCTTATTGTTTGCTTTCTTTTAAGAAGAAAGCTTCCTTTTGAAAGGATTTCAGGTATATCACTGAGATAACTTTGCAAATGTTTACAAGTCGTAGTTGCCCGGTACAAGGTGCAGACCAGAGAAACATTGTCATGATTGTTTGACAGTTTAGTTTAGGAGGAAGAGAGGCTTGACTTCTTTGCAGAGTCAGTCAATATTTGAGTTTGTGGCAAGGTCACTTAATATGGAAACATGTTATGTGTCATAAAGATATTCAAATGGGAACTAGTTTGTATTCATAGCAAAGAAACAAGTAGTGAAGAGGGGCAAAAGAGGAGGATACTGCAGTCAGCAGTGAGCAACACTTCAAACTGGATGTCTTTTACTAAAGCAAGAGGTGGCTGTGACCAAAGATTGAGAGACCTTAGGCTAAGCATTTAACATCAGAAGTTAGAGGACAGGCTTTGTACTCCAGGCAGAGGCCCAAACTGGCAAAACTGGCCACTGGTTGAATGCAAGAACCTAGAGACAAGCAAGTACAGCATTTGGGGCTAGAGGGACATTGCTGATTCTCCTAGGTCTGTGTTGCAGGCACCTGATTTCTGCCAATTAATTACACTGATCTTACCCAGCTACTGTCTGGCCCAGCTACTTCCCAGCTGTTTTGTCACAGGAGCCAGGGTGTCAGCAGACAGTGATCACTGATGGAGCTCTTCAGACTTTTGCAGGCAGATCTCATATGGCTTTGCTAATACCAGTGAAGTTTTGCAGGTATTTTGGGTGTGCCTGTGCAAACTGTTGTCATCATTTCTGGCAGAAGGGCGAGTATGAATTAAACATGCTACTTGTTACGCTGCCAGCTTCAGCACCTGAGGCCAGAAGTGAGCCCCAAACAGCACAGATCTGTGCTCCCCTCAGGAGTGACAGCCCTGCTTTGGTCTGTGTTAATAAATTAAAAAGAGCCAAGGTGCAGGAACTCTGTCATTTATACTGTTTAACTATTACAAAGGCTCTCTGGTATGTTTCTGATCCAGGTTGTAATTGCAGCCCCACAGTTTTTACCTTCTGTCCCCAAGACCACTAAGAGCATAGCTCTAAAGGGCTCCTGAGCTTTAGAGTGACTGAATTACTTAATTTTTCGTCTTTGACCATCCTAGAATTTTATGTATTCCCACCTAATTCTTGGAGGGTACCCTTAAGGGTAGACTGAATAGCTATTTTGGTAGTGTGAGAGAATAGTGCACTGGCTGAGGCTAAACTGTACCAGCTCACCTCAGGGATGAAGAACAGGCCCTGGCACCCTTTAAATTGTTGGTGTACGTGTATCATTGTAATTTAAGGTGAAAGCCTTGAAGCAGTTTTAGAAAGACTGTCACAGACTGTCACAGATGTAGTTTTAAAATCATCTTCTGGCTGTTCCTGATGACTTATTTTATGTGTATCTTCTCAGGATCAGAATCTGATTCCATTGTCAGTTTAAAGTCTTCCCTATCCATGTTTGTCTGTGTTAGCAGATTACTGTGGGAATGCTTCATTCAGTTAACTTGTATGTTGATAATGGTCCCCCTAGGGAAGAAGTGCAGTTGACGCACTCTATACCTGTGCTAGAGAATGCTAGGCAAACTTACAGAAATGTGAACTCATGTTTTACTTGAGAAAGACCTGTAACACCTTCTCTGCTAAGGTAGACGAAGCTGGTTCTGAGTAAAGAATTTACATGAAGACACTCTTGATTTGCACACAAAGCCATAGTTCACCAATAGTGGTAAAGGTTGTTAAGAAGCTGTATTCTGGTCCCATGAGTTGCCTCGGGCTGGAGTAACTGCAAAACTGATAGCTTGCATTCTACCCTTATTGCACATCACTTTAAACAGTTGATGTTTGAGGTCAGCAAAAGCAACTGGCCTATCACAAAAAAGGTCTGGTTCTTCTTTTCCAATGTAGACTATCAGAGAGAAGAAAATGTAATATTACAACTCTTCATTTCTGCTCTCCGAATAGAACTGGGCAAACTTAAGCAATGTGATAGTAGGGTCTTGCTGTGTCAGCATAACTCCTGTTGAGAACTGTCAGCTTTTATTCTTAGGACAAAAAGAGTTGGCTTAACCTTTCAACTGCACCTACTTTCACATATCCTGTAAAAAACAAACTTCCCTTAAGGAATATGAGCCCCTAGCATGTAGAAATTTCTTCCTCCTTTGAATCATTTATAAAACCATATAAGCTTGAAAATGTTTTACAGAGTATTTGAAACTATTTTCTGTTCCTTTCAAGAGAAGTGTCGTCTTTGCTACTTTGTCAGTGCAAACTAGTTTTCCTTCCCATCTGTTTCAGCAGCCAGCCCATCCCTACCTCCTGCTCCACCAGTCCTTTCTCCACCCCTGGCTGCCACAAAGACCTCTGCAGGTACAACTGACCCTGAAGAAGCTACAAGGCTGCTGACTGAGAAGAGGCGCCTTGCCCGTGAGCAGCGGGAACGGGAGGAGCAAGAAAGGAGAGAGAGAGAAGAGCTTGAAAGGTGATTCTGGACTTCTGAAGTGGAGAAGATAAGTTTTTAGCGGCCTCCTAGCACCTTTTTGTGTATATTTGGGGCAACTCCAATCACAAATGTAGGCTGGGTGACGAGTGGATTGAGAGCAGCTCTGTGGAAAAAGACTTGGGGATGTTGGTGGGTGAAAAGCTGAACATGAGCCAGCAATGTGTTTTTGCAGCCCAGAAAGCTAACCGTAAGGAGAAGCACGGCTAGCAGGTTGAGGGAGGTGATTCTTTCCATCTACTCTGCTCTCATGAGACCACACCTGAGTCATAGATCAGTGAAAGTCAGGCATATGCTGGAGAAGTATAAGTGTTGCCTTGCAGAGTTTTTAATGTTCCACAGGGCTTTGCTTTAGTGCCTGCTGGAAACAGATCAGATAATTTCCGAGTGAGAGAGCAGCACACCCTTTATCCAGACATTCTGCAGTGCTAGGTTAAGAATCTGGTGGTTTGGGATTTTTCCCTCCTTTTTTGTTTTTTTTTAATTTCTTTTTCTCATGCTTGTTTCATGATTGCAGGCAAAAGAAGGAGGAGCTGTCACAGAGGATAGCTGAAGAAAGAGCTCGCCGAGAAGAGGAAGAAGCTCGCAGGCAGGAGGCAGAAAAAAAACGGAAAGATGAAGAGGAGGAACGGGAAAAGGAAGAACGGCTGCGCCGACAAGCAGAGGAGAGAGAACTGAAGGAGAAAGAAGAGATGGAGCGCATTCAGAAACAGGTATGTTCCCCTACTGGAATTTCTGTGCCAGTCTGTTTAGCAGTGAAGTGGATGAAGCAACACCTCTTATAAAGCACCTACATTAGAGGAATATCTGAAGTCTTAGTCCAGTATTTGAAGAGAATAGGGTTGTGGCAGAATTCGTACCTTAGAGTGGTTCAAAGACTGAAGGTATTTCTTCTTGACAAAAACACATAGTAGGGAGTTGAGGTTTGGTTTGGCTTTTTTTCCCCCGTAGGATTTATTTATTTAAAACAAATCCTTTCCTATTCCTCATAAATCATGATGAAAAAAACAGTAGAGTTGTATTTGAGGATTTTAATGAATGGTGTTATACCAGAGAACTCTTTGTCCCCACAGGTACAGAAAGTCTAGATGCCAAGGTAATGAACTGTTCAGAGTGTTGGAGACACATCAGTGCAGAGTTCTAATCCTACGCCCAACATTGCTTTTGTGGGGGGCTAGTGTGTAGGAATAGGTTTTGATCACTTTAATCAAGCCCAGGAGAACCTTTGCAAATTCAAGGAGCTCCTCAAAAGACATAAGAGTGAATAAAGTACCATTTTTCAAGTGTTGTCATATCTGGTGGGCATAGTGTTGGTTTACTGACTTCAGGAGAGGTTATGGTAATAAGTATTTTTGGATAGGATTCTTCCCTTCTTGTGCACGCTCTTATGTTTTGCGTGTGCTTTCTCGCCCCCCAAATTCACTTCACTCTGCCTCATAGACGTTAGGTTTTTCTACTGGTGTATAAGTAAATGTATGCTCCTGAAAATAAATGTTTAAAGGATTGTGTTAGTGAATATAACTTAGAAAGTGCAGTTTTCTTTATCAGATGGTGTGTGCTGCTTTCTCTGAAATGCTAAACTAAGGTACATCCGCAGTTTAGCACTCAGAGGCAATGCATGGCCACATTTTTTTGGATACTACAGCCATAACAAATAAACTGTTGTAGTAGTTCCAGCATACAACACTATCAGAGAGCAAGGCTTCTCTACAGTATGTTTCCAACAGGTTTTAAACTTAATTAAAAAAGCAGGAAAGGAAAGGTTATGCAAATGTACCTGTGGCTGTTTGTCCTTAGTCTCATTAAGCAATGGCTGTTTGCCAAATAAACATTCTAGTGCTTTTATTTGACTCTCAAAAACATTCACCACGCAAAACATGAATCTCTAATACTTTCTTGGCTGATATTTTAATGCTGAAGGTTAGGAAGTGCATTCCTTATTTGTCACCTGGTGTGCTTTCACTCACATGCCCCAGAACAGGCCTAGAACCACATATGATGTCCGTTGTTTAGTTCCACATCTCTTAATGCTATGTGAAACATGGACATTCATTAAGAAATGTGCAATTCAGTCTGAAAAGACTGTTTGTGGCTTGTAAACCCTAATAGTGTCTCCTCAGGGTGTTGTACATGTCCATAGTTAAGCTGATATCAGTGTAAATATGTCCTTAAATAGTGAATAATTTTTCACTTCCTATTCTTTTACCATCAACTCAGAAAGAAGAGGAAGCTCGCCTTCGGGAAGAGGCAGAGCGGATTCGATTAGAACGTGAAAAGCATTTCCAAAGAGAAGAGCAGGAGCGCTTGGAAAGGAGGAAGGTAACTTGCTACACGCAGAGAAGCTGGAATTCATTTTGCCTTAGCAGTTTGCTTCCACCTCATCTGTAGAAAGTTATGTGCTATCTAAATGTGTCCTAAGAAAAACTGCATAGCCTGATGTGAATATTGCCAACAGTAACAAATAATTCATCTTCTTGCAGTGAACAGATGCAACTGACAAACAACAAGTAGTTGTGATTAGAGAGAGGTGTTTTAAATTAATGACAGCAAACATTATTTTACCCCTTTACCTTTCATTGTAGAGGCTTGAGGAGATCATGAAGAGAACTAGGCGTGTAGAACCTGTAGATAAGGTCAGTGCTGCTACTTAACTTGTACAAATATTGGCATGTTTCACTTCTTTAGTGCCATTTTTAATTCACAAAACTGTACTTCCTTTGTAGAAACCCAATGACCAGCAGAATGGACATATATCCAAGACAAATATTACTGAAGAAGCAGGTATGTGTTTAACTGTGTCTTGAGCAAAACAGGTGAATAAATGCCTACTGAGCACAATAATTCAAGATAAGATACAGTTCTGAAACTTGGCACACTAATTGCAGTAAAGAAAAGCATAAGAGGAATATAACTGAAATATTAGCAAACGCTATTTATTTAGCCTTTCTGTATATGTAGTTAAATGAGCCAGCTGATTTAGCGACTTAGTCACATTGAGAGGAAATTGCTTACCAAATTTATTTATAAAGTGAAAAGAAACATTCTTTTCTGATGCTGATCACAAATGAAACTGATTCTGTAGTTCCTTTTTGCAGATGTGGTTGTTGTAGACTTATTCCATTTTTTTTAAAGGGTTATTTCGTCTCAGTCATCAAAACAAACTGTTTCACTATCCAGATACCCCCTGTGATTTCTCTCTTCCACACCTGCTGCCTTATTCACTTGGCATTAATTTCTATTTCTTTCAAAATTGAGATCATACAAAAGTTTAGAGTCTCTGTATCACAACCACACTTCTCTTCTGTTCCCTCTATCTTTTTTTTTCTTTTTTTCCCCTGGTCATTTTAGCTAAAGTTTTATGTATTATTTTAATACAACAACAGAAGGAAAATAAAATGTAGCTCATATTACAGTATTACAATACATATCACAGTATCAGAATTAGCAATATTTAAAGACACTAAAGTCAAGCTATGAAACGGCTTATCCTAGTGTAGCATAACGCATTAAATTACCTTAATCTTCATTTATCTTTTGTGTTTGAGTTGAGTAACTTGGAGGATGTGTAACAACACTGGCTTTGTGTACTGCTTTTTTATGTTTAAAGTGAATGCTATAATTTCCACTGCCAGGAAACCTCTTGACACAGATTTCATCACATATGTTTGGAAGTTATTTGTTTATATATTGTCTTAAGGGAAAAAATAAGTTTGAGAACTGCTAATACAGAATGCATCTGGGATGTCCTCTTTTACTGCAGGCACTGCTGAAGGTGCTATAAACCTCTGAAATTATTCTTGAAACTATGAATGGCTCTATAGAGCGATTTATAGTTTGAAGCCCTTTGTAGCTAGCCCTTTGCTGCCCAAGGTAAAAGTCAAGTAGTTGGTTTCCTAAGGCACACAAGAATTTGAACCTCCATTTCCCCAGGCCCAAGGGAAGGCTGGAGTCCTTGAGTGGAGAAAACTGCCCTTCCCCTCAGGGCTGTTCTGCTGTTCAGCTTTGCTTTATCTAGATATGCTGTTGAGTTAAAGGTATGAATTAATGGACATATTTCAGCCAACTCTTATGTTGACTATAGTTAAAAGGTGACGTTTCTTTTTTTTTTTTTTTTTATCTTACTGTTCAGCAAAACATGGGGAAACCTTTCTGGAAATGACCAAGTCACACAATGAAACAAAATCCATCCCTTTTCACCATTTGTTAAGCCTCTGCACCAAAACAGGAGATGACTGCCTTTCCTAAGAAGAAGAATTTTCTTCTGCTTTTCTCTTTTAAATATTACGGCCAATGTATATTCTTCTTATTCCACTTGTAGAAGCACCAAAACCTGTATCGCTAAACCTGTAGTGTAAAAAATTTGCCAAAGATCAGACTAAGACATTCGGTGTAAAAGACATCAGCCCAAGCATTTAGAACGTAGCAAAACAAGAGCAGCTGAAGGAGAGTCTCCTCAGATGAAGTTTTGGGTAACCAAAATAAATGTGTCCAAGCCTATGAATACTAAATTGTCCTTGTGATTATCATAACAGGTGCTGGTATGGGTGGGGTACCATTACTTCTTTTACTGAGCCCTGTGTGAATTGGTGTGACTGTAGATGCAATGCAGAAGGCTGTAGTTGTACTTTAAAAGAACATCCTGAGGCAGGCCAGTAACATTCATCACATGGTCTTTGAAGGAGGCACAGGGATACTCCTGTTTTGTGTTGCTCTCTACCGCATTTTATAGTAGTGATTTGGTATTTTTTGAAAGAAGTATCCTTCCCATGGACATGTTTTCCTCTTGACTTAATTTTGCATTACAGTCAGTGATCAACATGGGAACCAAGAAATACCAGGGCATGGAATTGATGATGTCCCAGTGCTCTCCCATTCCATTCTCTGTTGTTCCTTGAAAAGTGTCAGCATAATGTTCTGGCAGATAGCAGCCTGTTTTGACCACTGGCTTATGTGTTGGAATTGTGTACATCCTTGTAAAATGTTTATTCTTGCCCTTATAGCTATAGCTTTGAAATCTGTAGCATTTACTTCAGACCTGAAACAGGGCTTGTGTGGTGAAACACTTGGCGTAGGAGATGGGGTAGAGGAGGAAGGAGTGTGGGCACTCTATTTTTTCAAACTGTAGATTGCCTTGACAGTGCTGTCTCTTGTAGGAAATCTACAGGTAGATTCTGTTGCTTGTTTTTTTGAAAACCTGTTTTGTTTCTGTTTCTCTAGTCATAACCAGTCCCACATCTCCCTTGGAACCTGAAGGAGAACCTCAGCTTCCATATGCAACACAATCTTCGCACAATGGGACACCCGTCACCTGCACGCATGTGATTGTTTCACATCAACCCACCATAAGTATGGACAGGTAAGACTATTGCTAAGTAGTGGAGGGTGTTTAAAGGAAGCATTACTAGAGTAATAAATAATTTTCAGGTCCATGTATTCATTAACTAAACAAGAGACAGCTGTTCAATCTGCCTTGTTTCTTTTTTACTTTTATCTTTTCCTGTGTTCAGAAAAGAACTTTGTTGTCTTTCACTTAGCAGTAAACCGTTTTTGCCAGGGAAGAATTTTGTAAAAATACAGCACGTTCTCTGCAGTATTTGGAACAGTGCATTGTTTGCCAGCAATTATTACATAAATTGAAACTTAATGGAAAGGGCAGATCTTTTCTGTTCCTTTCCATGAACTAAGCTTCATAAAAACCATTCTGGATTTATAGTGCTAGTTTTGTGATTGGAATAATGAGCACTCTGCTTTCAGCTTAGATGTCTCTATTTCTGAACTGACTGAAGTATAAGCAAGTTTTGCTTATTGAGCAGAAGTCCTCATGTGAGATCCAGAACTGCTCATTTTGGCCTTGTGATTTGAAAAAACCTTTGACCTCTATAAGGGAAATTTGGGGAGGCAGATATTTGACATTAAGAGCTCTCTGTAGCCATGAAACCAGTCACTCAGACTTTGAAACGCTTAAAACCTTGGTGTTGAACCAAGTGTGATCTGTTACATAAGCATGAGCTGTCAGTTATTTCCATTTTAGTAATGCAGAAAGCCAAGTGATCCCTTAGTCCTTTCATATTTTATGCAGGTAGTGCCAGAATATGCATGGAGAAACTTGAATGTGGGAAGCCATCACGTAGTCTGTAATGGGCGGTGTGCTTCGGGGTGTGATTGGCACTAATTGAAGGAGGAATTTGCCCTCTCTTGGTCCCTCCGTATGCCTGGGGGATCCCAGCCTGCTGTCATTCTGAGAGCAGCTCTGTCAGTGACATCGAGCACTGAACTGATTGGATGAGCTGCGCAGAGCTGCCTCATAATTATCTCAGGCAGCTATTAAATCTTAATCACTCCCGGCCTTATATGTACCTTGATGTTTGTAATACAAAATGTGCCATGTGAATGAGCGCTGTCCTGAACATTATAACCCATGTGAAAGGAACCTCAGAATGGCTAAAGTGAAGAATGAATAAATGTGATTGAAGAACAGCAACTGAAGAAGGAAGTGCGTGTAAGGCAGTGGAAGGGGAAACTGGTTTGCCAGGTTGGGATGTGGAGGGACTCTCTGCTTAGAGGTACATCCACACTGACTGGGAAGGCAAAGGCCAAAGTGCTTAGTAGCATCCCGGTATAAGCTTAGCCCAGGTAGCCTGAAAAATTGTTGCAAGGGATACACAGAAACACAGATTTTATCATATGGTAAAAGCCACAGGTGCCAACACCACTGCTACTGCATCTCATATGCTGCGGTTGTCCCGCATCGAGGTATACCTGATACTGCACTGCACACAACAGCAACCACTGGAGATGGTGTCTTGTGTGAGCACCTCACTTCAGCCCCAAGAAAGATTTGGATTTTGCCTGGAAAAGACTTGAGCATGTTTTAAGGGCAAGACAGCTCACATTTCTGACCAGAACTTAAACAGACTTTGCTTGGGGGACTTGGGGTACGTGCTTGTTTGGGAGTGAAGGCAAGGTGTTTTCTTCAGGCCTAGAGCAACATTCTCATTCTCTTCCGACAGTGTAGGAAGTGTGGGAAGTTTCACTGGGTCTCTAGGACAGAAGAAGTGTCAGTGTCACTGAGTTTATTTTGTACAGCACTGTACCTGTCTTTGAATGGGACTGGTGGTTGGTGTTGAGTGACCAAACCCAGAATACCTGTATTTGAGGTCAGAATACCTGTATTTGAGGTCAGAATACCTGTATTTGGGGTCACTGCCCAGGCAATGCAGGTGCTCTGGCCCTTGCACCAGTAGTGTTGAAGAAGCGTGCCTGGGAAGGCTTCTAGAGGTTTGCATGCAGGTGGGGACTTCTACTCTGGGGCCTAATAGGAAGTTTCCTGACTGCTTGCTGTGCTGAACCTTCACCCCTGTTCCTTCCCACCACATCATCCATCCTGTGTCAGCTCTGTGGCTGGGATTCAGTCAGAAATAGCACGCTTGCTTCCACCGTCATGAGTACAACGCAACTGAGAAAAATTAAGAGAATTCTGGCAGCGTGAAGGCAGTTGATTTCAATACTTTACCATTGTCTGTTGCTGCTTTTGATCAGCAATGCAGATCATGTTGTACTGGAACTTCATTAGCTTTCCAAGCCAATTGATTTTCATAAACCCTAATGAAAATGCTGTGATCTGCTGCATTATTTACCGTGTACCTATTGTCAACGGTTATTAGTTTTAATAATAGACATTCATTGCAGATGACAGATTGGCGCAGTCATCTATCCCACCTAACAGTTTGTCAAAATTTTTATTGGTATTCTATTACAGTATTTTAAACAAATGAACATTACTCAATTTTCCTAAGGCCTAAAGCTTCTTCACTTTGCATTGTGAAAGAAAAAGATGGATTTGCTTGTGATTCAAGCTGTTTTACCATGTTAGCACTTAAGGTTTTCAAATAGATATTACATGAATTCTCAGTTTCATAGAAACAATTTCTTTTTTCATAGTTGTCTGAGTTAAAATGACATGTCTGAAAATGAACATGATTTTTAGGGTACGTAGTTTTAAGTTGTGCTGCAAGGGTTTTCAATTTTGCCACCTGTGCTTGCTCTGAGTGTCTTCTCCACAAGTAAATTTGGTTAAACAATTTAATTCTCAAATGCTAATGAAGAATAGTGGATTATTACTGGGGAAGGGGAGGAGTAACCTTATATCTGACCTATAAGTCAATGGTGAGAAGACTCACAGTTGAACTTAAATTGAGACAGTTTTCATCCAGGTGTGGTATGATGGAAAGGGCAACACTAATTCTTTGACCAAGATAGATCCCGTCTGCTAATTCTCAGGAAGTTATTTCAGTACAGTGATTTATGTTGATAATATTTTCCCAATGGAATTTATTCTTCTCCTGTAACTTTTTTTTTTTTTTCTGCTTTTTATAAATGCCTGCAACGGGCCTCAGTGACAGTAACTTGCCTCATCTGTGCATCTCCATCCATATAGAGTTGGGTCTGGGTAGATCAGGTAACCAGGTGCTGGAAATATACTGTTAGATAAGGTGATTGACTCAATATCTTGTCCTGGAAAAGAATGTTACTGGGTTCAAATTCTTACATAGTGTTCACTTCGCAGTCTGTGCGATAGCCCTGCTGAAATTTGCTGTAGAACTACCTTCCCTTCTTTAGGCCTCCAGCTCCTCATTGCTGGCTGATTTCGGTGCTGTCATCTCAGTGTCTTAAAAATAAGCATTACGTTACTTAAATCATCCAAGACTCTGGTGTCTGTTTTGCTGTTAATATCTATCTGTGACACCTCTGCTAAAAAACATCTCCATAAATGAGGTAACAGACATCATCTGTCAGATCAGGAATAGCAGCTAGAAATAGTTTGGCACTTTCTAGAGGCCTGAAAAATAATTTTTTATTATTTTTTTTTCAATTACTTGGTGCTGATTTCTGATGGGTGATCAGAAACAGGCTAAATTCTTGCCTTCTTTCTTCTTTACTCTCTTCAAATTCTTTAAGCAAAGCTCATGTCTACATAGAGCTTTGGCTAAAATTATCTACATCAGATGTAATTTTCTGTAGCTTTTAACTTTTTGGATGTTCTAGTTCCTTCAATTAAATTAGCTGCTTTTCTCTCAACTACCTCCAGTCTATCTTGTTAATATTGATGTGTCCAGATCAAAATGCAAAGCTGCACAGATGGCTTTTAGCTGCCATGAAGCTGTCTTTCAGATGCTTCCAAGACTGTTTTATTTGGAAATGCACTCTGAACAACTCGAGCAACTTTTATTATTATTATTTCTTTAATTACATAGGTGTCCTGCTACAAGCCCACTTATGGAATATGTTAGAATGCCAAAACTACCCAGTTCTTTCTGCAGTATTGTATGCCTGAAAAGGGTATCTCCAGTGTTTTACTGGACACTGAGACATCACTAAGAATGTAACATAAGACAGTAAGAACAGCTGTACTGGATGAAAAATGCATTACTTTTTTGGTGTTCTTTGCTTTAATGGCCTCCAGCACTCATTAGGGAGAGAATGTAAACGAAAAAAAAGGTAAGTACCAGGAGGTCCTCTGGTCAACGAAGGGTTACTAAACATTGTGATCCAAATGCAACCATAGGCTCAAGTTATTCCCTAAGCTGCTAATTACCAGACGCTGGAGGGTATAGCAGTCTCAGAGGAATTTGTCTAATCTCCTTTCAAGCTTGTGGCCTCTAAGATGTCCAGTGGAAATTAGTTCCACAGTTCCATTTTTCCCTTTGTTTCTTCTAAATTTGCTCCCCTAGTACTTTGGTGGAGCACATTAATAAAATATAAAAGATTTATAGCATAAAATCTAGAAGACTCACAGTCTTGGTTTCCTCTTCTGTACCCACTTTGTGATTGTAATGACTTCTGTGTTTCAAAAGACACCGTGCAAGTCTGTGTATCCTGGTCTAACTCAGTGTGTAATACTGGCCGTGCAATGACAAATAAATAGGAATAACTATTTATCTATTAAGTCAGCTGATCAGTTGGACCGAACAAGTAATATCTTTGCAAAAGCAAGAGGCTTCTTCATTGTACCAGTACTTGTTAAAGTATTATGTTGTTTAATTTATATCAATGAGTAATTGTTGTCTTCTCACCTCTTTCTTACCTCATCCATTAAACTTGCTGTGTTACCCTAGTTCTGGTAAGGTCATTGGCAGTAGATGGGAATGAAACAAGTAATAGTATACCTTGTAGTGAATAATAATCCAATAACTGTACATTATAGTTTGAGTTTTATTAGTCCTAAAGCACTCCACAGATTCTGCTCCTCATCTTACAGATATAGATCTCTGGAACAAAAAGGTCGATGTGACATGGGACCTTTCTCAGGTAGACAGCAGGGTTTCTGTCTCTGCTCTCAAACTCAGTGCAGTGAACTGTATTTTTCATTTTGAAATTTACTTGGTATATCCACAGAGAAAGAAAGGGGAGTGTCTCTCAGAAAAAGAACTGGTGATGGTTTGAAACACTGGGAAAGGATTGATATGAAAACCAGCATGTCATTCTCACAGGAAATCTGGGCCTTGGATAATGCCTTGCCACTTTCACAAGGGCAATAATTATGATCTGTCTCTTGGGAAGGACTGTAAAACAATTCAGTAATCATTTGTGAAGAGTTGGACACCCAAAAAAGCCAGGAAATGAAAATAAACCATATGCCAATTCGAAACAGTCTTTTGAAGACTAGCAAACGTACTGTCAGGAGAAAATTAGCCTGTGAAACCAAAGCACCTGCTCAGAAATGGCCTGAGGAAATTGTTAGCCTGGTTTCAATCTAGGAAAACTGCATCTGAGCCTTTTTGGCTGAAGCATTTCCAAACACCCTGAATGGTTACGATGTGGTCCAGACAGGGAGTAGATAAACAAGACTGCCAGGATCTAACACTTGAGGGCCTTAAGAAGCACATATGATTGATTTTTGAGTGTCAGTTGAGTACGTGCTCTTTCTCAAGGAGCTCATGGTCCCATACTGTCATCCTGGTCACTAAAGTAGCACCTTAGTTTCTTCTCTTTTCTGGCAAGAAGCCCTCTGCAAGGACAGCAGGATTCGAGAATACAGTGTCTATTAACAAAGCTGGGAGAAGCAAGACCGTGAGACGTGATCGTGCATCTTCTCAGGAGAGTGTGTGTGTGCTCGTACTTCTCCTGGCTGAGGGAGATGTACCAGAGCTGGCTCATGAGGCATCTCTGTCAAGTGGGAGATGGAAAAATAAAGTACAGATTGACATGAGGGATGCTGGGAGGTGTTTCTTTTGGCTTGGGCATGAGCAACAAGAGGAGTGCAGAATTGGGTACTCCCCTGGAAATAAGCCCTAAGAACTTGTAGGGAAGGAGGGACTGAAAGGAGAACTGTGTTGGTAAAGGAATTTTTTTTTCACTGCGTAACTGGTGAGTAGAAGAGGCTGTTCCAAAACTGGAGGCATGAGGTGATCCAAGAAATAAGAGAAATTAGCTTGATCTTATCTAAGGGCAATTACATCGATTTGCAATTAAAGAAGAGGTAAAGCAAAGGTTATGAGAGCTGAAGAAGATGTTAGAGGCTGTAAATTGCATGAGGTGGGTAGCCATGGTGGCGCGGCAAGCATTTTCTTACTTCTCAGAACTGCCAAGTCCATAAAGGTCTCACAGGACTGGGTGTCGTGTAGCCAAATGTCACAATTGTCCTGGGTGTTGGAGGGAAAGTGTATCTAATACTTCCCTGCAAAAATAATTTTTCTACTGAGGCAGAAGCCTAGTTTTGTTTTTACTGGCTAAAGAATGCTCGAGATTAATGCAGACTTTTCTTGTAATATTGCTTTATGTAGGACTAAGTTTCTGTTCTAGCTGAAGTGTATGAAGAAACACCTGTGCTTCTCTTTCAGCAATCTCAATCCGGAGAAAAATGGAAACGAAAACGGGATGTCTGTGCAGAGCGATAACTTCGAAGAGATCATAAACCTGCCTATTGGTTCTAAACCATCCCGGCTGGATGCCATGAAAAATGATGGAAGCAATAGTCCCGAAATTCCTTTGAATCCAATTCTAGCCTTTGAAGAGAAGGGGACTCTCTTGCCTCAGGTAGATAGTGTTCAAACACATCAAACAGCAGGTAGGTTTGCCTCGGTTCACTGACGCTTGTAATGTGCTGTAATTGACTGAGGACCTAGAGCTCTTAGTTGATATAAGGTGATGAATTTAAGCATTTTTAAACCAAATATTATTTGGGGAAAGGAGCGTATCTCCCCTTTGTAAAGCTCTGCATACAGCATACACCCAGATGCTGTCCAAATTACGGTGAGATTTTGTCTTTTCTTGGAGGGGGGCTTCTCAGTTACGCAGTTACTTCAGCCATTTGAAGTCGCTTGAAAATGTTTGCCTCGTGCTTTCAAACAGAAATGGTGAGTGACAACTGCTGTTCCCGTTCTGCAAGTGTAACACCTGAAACGCACATGCAGAAGGGGAGCTGGTACCTACCTTCTACACAAAATCCCTCCTCAAGTTCTTGCTGCCTTTAATACTTGAGGGATGGTTTGCAGCACGCTAGATTTTTCTGAGTTACGTGACAATTTTAAAGGATGTTAGATAAACAAAATCCAATTTAGCAACTTAAATTGGACTGATGTGTTTTTGTTTTGTTTTCTGTGGCTAGAAAATGTAAGGAAAATCATCTTAGAATAAAATAATTGTATAAATGCAAAGCATTTTGAAGTAAGCATTGTCACTCTTCGCTGACTTGTCATTTTTGATACCTTCTGTTGTAGAAGTGATCTGATCGTTTCTTCTGGAGAACCAAAGGTGACATGAGCATCTCTGCAGTCAGTGGCGTTTCTTCCATGCTATGAAGGAGTTTTATTTTTTCTCTCCAGTTTTTTAAAGATTTCTTGAATATCTTCTCATTTTTTTGGAAGGACTTTAGTAAAACCAGCATAAGAAATGATGGGAATAGACTTGGGTCACCTTTCTAATAGCTTTCATCACTAGAAAAATCATGCTTCACATGCTTACTTAATATGGCTTCTTCCAACAAGCTTTTTCTGTTAGTAAATGGATATTGCTGCATTCCTTAAGACATGGGACACTGGAATCGTGAAAGCAATGGGCTGATTTTGGGTGGTGGGACTGATTCTTTTTTTAAAAAGGTGGGTGTTGGTTTAAAAGGCATAATTGTAAAATTGGCAAAGAATCTTTTACACTTTGTGGTTCTAATACTTGAAAAATAATTACCTCATTGCTCTACGAGTAGGGTTAATGGGGTCTTTTATTTAAACCTGTTGGTTTAAATGTTATTGCAGAGAACTCTAATTATGGGGGCAAAGTATAGGCTTCTGTATCAGGTTCTTGTAAATGTAACTCCTACAGGGACATTCTGTAAATTGAGATGTCACTATGATCTTCTCGCATTTTCTCTAAAAATACAAAACAAGGCAGGTTTTAAAATGTGAAAATTTGAAAGCATTATTTTTTCATGGACAAGAGGAAAACCTATTGTTCTCCTAGATGATGTATTTATGAATTTTGTTCAGTACAGAAATAAATTGTTTAATTGAACAAATTAGAAAAATGTGGTAAAATGATACTGCAAACTTGATTTCTTTAGTTACATCCATGTTCACAATACTAGAAAAGCTGTGTACATGTACATGTGCACACACACACATACACACAAGGAAATACCTTGTTCTGAGTCCTGTAAATTGCTGCTGTTCCCAGTGATGGAAGACTTTGCCTTATCAGACTATTGAAGACTGTGTGAAACCTGAAATATTTGATTTTTGGATGATGAAGCAGGTTTGGGTATTTTTTTTTGGTTTTGCTCGTTTCAGAGCAAATGGAAAATGGTCATTGTGCTTTTTATATAGCGTGTGATTTTTATAAAGCAGTGTGGTTTGAGTGGCAAGAGGAGCAATGCAGGTTGCTTCCTCTTTAGTTTGATGCTGATTTCTACTGTCATTGTTCCATCCCTCACTTTTGGTTGCTCTCAGGCATAACTGTAAAATCTTGCACCTTTTTGTGCTTTGGTAAACAACGCTGCCGCAGGTAGAGCTCGCTCCAGGTATTTGGGTTTGAAGCGCTAACCGGGGCTTGACGTGTCGCTCACGGCAGTCCATGAGCAGACCCTTGGCGAGTGGAAAAGGAGGTTTGCGGGGTTTCAGTTCACACTACCAGAGAATGTCCCATTCAAATTCCGTACTTGGGTTTAGTGAAAGCTGAGCTAGGCTGCTAGGAAGCTGCGCGGAAAGTCTGTGATAGCAGAAGAAATCCTCTGAGACAAAAGCTGAACAGTTTTTTGAAGAAATTACTTTCTGCTGCTGCCAAGTGCTCCTTATACAGGAGTTGAGATAAAAGCAATGGAAATGCGGTGAAACAGAGAGACTACGTCTGCCAGAACATATATAGAAGGGAAAAACCAGCCATTCAGTCAGGATGCTTTCAATGGTAGCTTGTGACACAGTGAAATGAATTGGGTTCCTTTCTTGCTTTCTTTAGTTTTCCATGTACATAGCCATGATATTTTGAAGTGTCCGAAACATGTAGTTTTTCTTTAAACCTATATATAGCATGTAAGTACCAAATAAAACTTGTTTGAAATATTTACTTCTATTTATATTTTCATTTTCTTTCATAGTTGAAACAGGAATTGATCTGTGATGGAAAACTCTTCTTGCTGCTCCTGGTCTGCTTAAAACTTTTCTTCTTCAGGTTTCCTCTAATATCTTTATTAGAAAATCAGTACAAGGTCACTTACAGCTAGAAACAGAGCAAAGGAATAGCCAGTAAGATTTAGCTTCAGTTAAGTGTGAGGATTCATTTAGGCCCAGGTTTAAATAATGTTGATTTTGATCTATTTAGGCTCAGGTTTAAATTATTCTGATCATCTTTTGTGGGATTTCAGAATGCTTGCTTCGCTGTTTGCGGCACACAGGTGAAGACCTGTTTCATTTCTCATGTCTGTTTTGTGGATTTGTTCTATTCTTTCTTTTTTAACAGGACTGCATTAGAAACAATTTATTATTATATTAATTCCAGGTTTACTTCAAATGAGTGAATTTCCACCTTTTCAAGGGCCCAGTGTACCAACTAAACACTAGGGAATTTGGAGTAGAATTAGGTGTATGAATACTTTTTTTAAAAAGAATAGAAAAAAAAGAAAATTATTGAAATGTTAAGTCTTGGGTTTAGCCCCATTCTTTAAATGCGGGGAAAATTCGTTTCTTATCTGTTGAATGTTGTTCTTGCTAATAAAGCCCAGTGTCAGATGAAGGCCATCTCCTTTGCCTGCTGTTGCAACTGGTTTTGTTGTTTGTACTATCAGAGACAACACTTGACTCTGAGACAGAACTATCAACTGCAGCAGTGGGCTTTGGAGAAATTCAGCTCCTTGCTCACATCTTAACAGGACAAAATCGATGCTAAAGGAGGTGACATTCTGTGAGCTTAGCTCAGCACAACACAACTATGGGGCGGTTTACCATTAGCTTCGTTTGCTTCACGTGCCTCTTCTCATTCCTGATGAAGAATGCTTTGTTACTTTTCTTCTTGCTAGGACCTTGAGGTATCATTTGCAATTAAATACCTAAGAAAACCAGACAGATGCTAGTGCCATTACTTAATATTGCACGGATTTTCTTTTTGGAAAACGATCTCAAGTCACCCAAGGAGATGGCCTGAAATTTGCAATTTTGGGGGTTTGTTCTTAGCTGTGTGATTCAGCAATTTGTAATCATCTATTTTTCAGTAACCCCAGCTGCCCACAGCTGAGCACATGGGTCTTTTACGTGAGATTTCAAAGAAAATTCCTGTCACACATGAATATTGAAAATGCTGTGCTGCTTTACCTGAAGTATCCGTATGCTCTGTCTTTGACAGGCCTTGCCACTGCACTGCAGAGAGGCTTTTCAGTGTGATCCTGGTCGTTTTGTGTTGGTTTTTTTTTTTTTTAAAACACTACTGTTGGAGAGAACTTGCAGGTACTGAAAGGAATCATTAACAGAAATGCCTTCCCCCAAGCACCAAAACCAAGCTTAGAGATTTGGGCCACAGTAAAGTGCAATGTTGACCTATAACAATGAGGTTTTTATTTATTGTTTTTAATCTCACTTATATTCCATGTTTGTAGCCAGTAGCAGCTCTAAAGCTCTACATGCATGTGAGAGTTATGCCGTAGTCGGAAGTACCTCAAAAGACAGGAAGCTCTTCTGAAATGTTTTTCTAAGAAACTGGTACCTGGGAGCAGATGTTTGCCAGAAGAGTAATTTCAAAATGTCAATATTTCAGCCAGTTGAACATGAAGCTCCAGCCAGGTTCTTGTATTTAAAAACAAGTGTATTGATCAAAGGTGAAACTGGATTACTAATAGGTAATGATTATTATCTGTTAGTTTGCTATTCTTTTTAAAATCAAAGCCTACATAAAAAAAATAGTGCCCCATAATTTCAAGGCTCTGTGCTACAATTTTTTCCTGAAAAATACTGTTTTGATTTGCTAAAAAGTCTGTGAGATGGACTTTCCCTCTGGAGGAGAGGAAAGGGGAGTTTGTTCAGTGTCCTGTATATGTGGAAGAAAATTATTACCATTTGTAGAACACAGATTTCTGTATTCAAAGACATCTCACACGAATCTTTCATGGTAGCTGTTCTATTGTGAACATACTCTGTCAACATTTACCTGCTTCAATGTGCCTTTGCTTTTCTGCTGAAGAGTAGTGCTTATGGCGTATGCAAGGATCAGTCTTAAGACTTGCCCTGTTCTTCTTTCTTAAAAATTTATTGCAATTTCTCTGAGTTGTCCCTCAGCTATTACTTCCTGTAGTACCCCGTTAGTAGTTTGATACCTTTATACTCTGTGTTAATTCAGTTATTTTCTAAAGCCAAGACCCTGGATTGTGCTCTGAACAGATTGTGAACTGGAACAGAAATAAAGATGAATGCAGAGGAACCTGTGCACTTGAGAGATGCTTCTTCAGTAGAACCCGCCCGTTATGTGAATAAAACTTCATGAGTACAGCGCTGTTTTTTGGAAGAGGTGGTGAGGAAACCAAAACCAAACCATGGAAGGTTACCCAAGCATAACAGGTGTTTTCCAAACAGTTGGAAGGAACTAGATGTAGTTCAAGCACACTTAAATCAGCCAGCCAGAACGTTCAAGGGATTGTCTTTTGATCTGCTCCAGGTCTTGATTTTGGAACATGCCTTTTGTGTGATGAAACTGTAAGTAGCAGGAAAGCTCTAACTACTGAAACTAATGAAAAGAATTGTCTTCTCCGAAAGAAGAATTGTCTTCTCTGAAAGTTCAGGCTCTTGACTCTGATAAGTTTTCGTAAGCCATGTGGCTTAAATATTAACTGTCTTCATGGTAAATAGCTGCCCTAAGGAGCTCTTGAGTTTCTTCTGTTTGTTGACGGACTTGCTCAAGGAGTTTGGCCATTTGGCTTTTTCTGAATGCTAATGAAAATTCTGGATCTGATGAGGAAAAACAAGTGTTAGGCTACCCGTCGTGCTTCCCTGTGGTTTAAAGCAGAGGCTTAGAAAGCTTATACTTCAGGTTAGATACAGTTGGTCGTTCTTATTACAGTGTAAAATATAGAGAAGTTAAAACAAGATTTTTCTACCACACAAAGCCAGTACTAATGCAGTTTTTATCCCTATGACCATTCCAGACTTTTTCTTGCTGCTGCATTCTCCTGATCCAGATGTCTAAAGCTTAGTTGCCAAACTCAGCCTTATGCAACAGGTGCATATCAAGACATAGCAGGGTCTTGGTTGTGGCTCTACATATGTGAAAATACATCCTATATACATTTATTAACTGCGTCAGGGCAGGTTTAGGTTAGATATCAGGAACCACTTCCTCACAGAGAGGGTGCTCAGGCACTGGGATGCACTGCCCAGGGAAGTGGTGGAGTCACCATCTCTGGAGGTGTTTAAGGAGAGGCTGGATGTGGCACTTAGTGCCCTGGTCTGGCCCATGTGGTGCTGTTGGGTCATAGGCTGGACCTGATCTCGGAGGTCTTTTCCAGCCTCAACAATTCTGATTCTGTGATTACCATATTACAACTCTTTGCTGTACTCACTTCTACCTCAAACAAACAAAAAAACCAAAAACAACAAAGATAACTAATTAAAAATAGAAATAAATCAAGAGACAGAATTTAGAGGATGAAAAAGATGTGAAACTTCCCAGTTTTGATACCAGCTAATCATGAAATTTGCTTGTTTGCTTTATCAAAATAAACAAAAATCATATTTGAAAAAGCTGTTAGGCTGCATCTAGTGACAAACATTCTTATATTGAATAAAAATAAAAACATCTGCACCTTGAAGTCCTGTTTCTCTGCTGATCGGAAAGCCTTTAGTATTAAACCAAACAAACAAATCTTTATCCTGTTACTCTTAGTTACTTAAAACCCAGGTAACGTAACAGCAACCCTTGACATTATTCTGTTCACGTAAGTGAGCGAAGATGGTTGCCGGAGAAGGCTGCCCAGCACAGACATTTTTGTTAGAAGGAGCTGACGGGAGGTCACAGCATCTGGCAGCCCCCAGGGGCTCGGCCCAGCAGGACACACGTACCTTCTCGCAGCCTGCAGAACGTAGAGATGCCCAGCTGCTGAAAACGGATCTCTCGGTGGGTAAGAAAATTCTCCAGGTAAGCCTGAATCCTTCCAGTGTGGTGTTTCAACAAAAGCATCATTTTGTCTGCATGAATGGGAGAATCACTGGAGATCAATAGGAGCCTTTTAAAACATTTTGAAAACTGATTTTTGCAGCCACATTTAAGATCCTAAATGGCTCATCCCCTTTCAACTACAACCAATGTTACTGCAAAGAATGGCGAAGGGCTTCCACGTACTACAGCCTCTAACGGCATCGCTGATACGTGATGTCTGTTCAGCGCTGGGCGGGCGGCTGTGCTGGGGAGTGGGGGCTTGTGCGAGGTGTGCGCCAATTTATGGACGGGTCAGCCTGCCCTGCTAACCTGCTTGGGAAGCGACTGTGCTGTTGGAATGTGTTTGTGACCTGAGAGCCTGTGCTGTTGCACATCCTGAAACAGGTTGGCGTTTTCCCTTATTGGAGACTCATGACGGACTTCGGTTTCTCTCACATCTAAGGATTAAGATCTAACTGTGCTTTTCTAGGGAATGTGGCAAAAATGATCTGAACACCTTTTTCCTGTGAGTCATAAAGTCTCTTAGCTGCATGGGACAAGTATATTAAACATAAAGGTGTTTGTTTTCTGCAAGTAAAAATAACGCTCTTTTCATTCTTTTTCAAGGAAACTTAAAAATATATAGGCTACATTGTTAAAAGCCTGCTAATCTAGACTAGAATTACTACAGCAGTGTTTGGTTCAGGACGATGCTTTACTCTTGCTGGTCAGGGAGCAGAGTTGATCTCAAATTTTGGAACGTGACCATCCCATTGTAATTGCCTCTACCAGCCTCTCCTCCTACCTGTGGGGATGCCATCCCATTGTGTGTGCTGAGGGAGGGTCAAACACAAAGATACAACAATGTCTCCTGTTTGAAACCTGCTGTCCTCTTTCTCATGGTAAGGAGTTTTTGATGCTTCCCCACCTTCCTATTTAAGATGTT